AATATTAGCTAGAATCTTACCTAAATACTCTAAATATAACTATAAGATTTAGCTTAAACTAGGCGTAGAGGCCTTAAACTACTGCATGCGTCTATAGTCTAGGCGCTATAATAAAGCTATATAAAAGTATATTATAGAAATAAAGAAATATAGTTTTATTGCTAAAACTAACTCTGTAGTACGCAGTAATATAACTATTATAGCTAAGCCTAATAGTAGCATCTATATTTATATTAACTACTATAATCTTAATAATATTACTATTAAGAATTGCTACTCTATTCTCTTCTTTAGAGAAATACTAGCATAGCTAAATAATGCTACTATTTTCTTAAAGTTTAATATTATTTATACTTTTTACTATATATAAATAAAGCTAAGCTCTAAATAGCTTATAGTATTTTCTATATAACTAGATATCTATAAATATTATATTATACTATTTAGCTTCTATAACGCCTCTACTACGTTTTAACGCGCTATTAATAGTACACTATTTAATTATCTAGATAATTTTTACACTACTTATCTTAATAATATTCTAGTCTACTCTAAGATAGTAAAAGAATATATATAGTACTATAAAAGTATTCTGTACTATCTCTAAGCATAAAGGTTCTATATAGACCTTAAGAAAACTAAACTATACTAGATAAAAGTTAAGTTTCTAGGCATATTTATTACTAATGCAGAGGTTAAAATAGACTTAGATAAGATTATAGCTATTAATAAGTAGCATATGCTAACTACTGCTACTAAGATACTAGCATTTCTTAGCTATATAGAGTTCTACTAACGCTTTATTAAAAACTACTCTGCTATTACTCTACCTCTTATAAAACTTATTAAAGCCTATATTAAAAAACAGCCTTCTAAGAACTCTACTAAGCTAGTTATCTATAAGACCTGCTATAAAAAGTTTAAAGTTACTAATAAATACTAATAAGCGTTTAAGGTGCTATAAGACGCCTTTTAGCTAAATATTATACTATAATACTTTAACTTAGAAAAACTAGTTAGAGTCTATACTAATGCCTCTGCCTAGGCTATAGATAGCATTATAAAATAGGAAAATAATAATAGAGACTAGCAACCAATTAGCTTCTTCTCTAAGAAATACTCTCTAGCTAAGTATAATTATAATATCTATAACTTAGAGCTTATAGAGATTATTTGCGCATTTAAATAATAGAAACTAGAGTTAATTAGAATACCTTACTAAATTAGCGTTATTATAGACTACTAGAACCTTAAAATATTTATAGCTATAAAGAAGCTAAACTGCAGATAAGCACGCTAGTCTCTATTCTTATTATAGTTTAATTTTAAGATTACTTATATACTAAGAAATACTAATATTAAAGCTAATGCTCTTAGCTAGTAGCTATAGAATATACTAGAAGATGCTATAGATAAACGTATTACTAATAATAATATAATTATTCTTAGCTCTAAGATACTAGCGCTAAATATATAACTAGTAATCTAGATAGTACTCTAAGCTATAAGCACTTTCTACTATAAGAAACTAGACTAGGTTTTACTAGAATAACGCTAGATACTTAAATTCTGCCTTATAGCCTTAGACTATAATAACTTAGACTCTAAGAAATTAGAAGATAAGCTAGCGCAAGACTAGATTAATAGCATAGTAAATTCTAGCCTTCTCTTCTATAATAAAGATACCTTATTCTACTATAGAACTACTTAATATAGCTTATAAAAATAACTCTATTACGCTAGTAGCTTTTATAGTAATTAATAGCAGCGCTATAAAGCTACTTAATTTATTCTATAAGAAAGGCTACTTCTTCTTATAAGCTAATATTACTTCTTTAGGTAAAGATCTAGAATACTGCTTATTTATTAACTAGACATAGCTATATATTCTCTTAGATACCTGCCTCTAGCGCTAGATATTTAAACTCTGCTATAACTATAAAATTATAGGCTATAAGAGACTACGTAGTATCTTTTACTTTATATTTAAGAGATACTACTAGCTAAAGATAGCCTAGTTAATTAAGAAATTCTACACTACTTATAGAGTTTACTCTTAAATAAAGTTCTCTTATAATAGTAAGTATAGCTATTTGTAATTACTATTTATCTTAAATGCTTAATAGATAGATCTTTTAGTTAACTATATTTAAAACTTTCTATCTAGCTAGTATCTAGGTTTCTAATATTATAATATTTTAGTTATTAGCTACTAACTAACTAAGTAGCACTATTTCTTTCTAACTATTACTTATAACTTTATTAAAGTAGCATAGTACTTTATAGAAGTATTTAAGAATTATAAGCTACCTCTTAATATTATCTTAGATTGCAGCACTATATTTATATATAAATTTTAGAAATATATCTATGCTAGGCTTAAGATTAAGTAGAAACTATCTACTAGCTACTACCTAGAGATAGATAGCTAGATAGAGCAATATAATTAGTTCTTAAAAACGTATCTCTAATAATTTATTAACTTTACTTAAGATAATTAGGTATTATTTCTATATATTGCTGAATTTTAAGCTAATAATATAGTTAATATTTCTATTAGTATAATACTATTTATAGCAGATTTAGGCTATTATCTCTATAGCAGAATTTACCTTAGCAAAGAAGCTATAGCTAAGCTTAGCAAATAGCTTTAAAGTTAATAAGTATAAGCTAATAAACTAATAAATGCTAATACTAACTTAGTAGTATACTTAAAAGAATAGATTTATTAGGTATAGTAGAAGTAGTAGGCCTATGCTAATATCTTATGCTATAGTAAGCTAGCTTATAAAATTAAAGATTAAGTATAGCTAAGCATAGCTAACTAGTTAATATTATAACTTACTAAGAAGTTTAAGAATTAATAGGCAGGCCTATATATAGTAACCTGCATAATTTATAATAGTTAAGTATACTACTTAGACTTACTAGAAGAAATAATCTAATATAGTATCTTTCTAGTATTTTACCTATAGCTCTTATAGCTAGCAGATACTAAACTACTATCTAACTAAGTACTCTTATAGCCTAAAGAAATTTCTATTATTAACTCTAATAGTAGTAAACACTCTAAATAGTATATTAACGTAGTAGTAGATTATAAATAGCAGAAATCTGCTTTATATAAAGGCTAGTAGTGTTACTATATTAAATAGACTAATAACCTACTTTCTACTTAAGAACTAGCTACTAAGTTTAGTAAAAATTATAACGCCTTTCTCTACTACTATAAGCACTCTAAGAGGCTAAAGCTATCTTACTTTTATCTCTCTTATAACTAGCAGCCTTACTTAGAAGACTAAGAATTAATAATAAGCTAGCTAGAGAAACCTAGTAATAAGAATAGATAGAAACTTTATAAAAGGCTTAGATAATAGTAGATAGTATTATTACTATACTTCTACTACTTCTCTTAAGAAGCTATCTTTATAAAGCTATATTATCTTAGCTTTATAATACTTATTCTTTAGTCTACTATATTTTCTAATTATATTCTAAGGCTTAGCTGCTAGTAGTAGCTCTAGAAAATTAGTATACTTTACTTTCTTTTTTTTTTCTTTTTCTTGCTTCTAGAAAAGTAATTTTTATATTACTAGCTACTAAAAGCATCTATAATAGGCTCTAGTAAGAGATAATAAACTTTATACTTATATTAGCTTTTTTACTTAGCTATACTATGCTAATCTAATTTTAATAAGCTTATGCTAAAGCGCTTATATCTACTAAGTAAATATATATGCTTAAAATTTTTTATTTTAGTTAAGCTAGCATTATTATTACTAAAACTAAGCTTATACTAAAGTACTATAAATATCTAGCTAGTAGCAGAGGTTATAGCATAAATATCTAAAATATTCTTAGAAAAACTTACTCTCTTAAGTATTCTCTAAATAGTTTTAAGCTTAATTTTTATAGCATAGAGTAAGTAAGATAAAAAAGATTATAGAAGTAAAGTAAATTTAGTATAAAACTTACGTAATCTATATAGCTATACTAAAACTATAAACTTATATTTGCTAAGTTCTACTTATATAGCTAAACTAAAGAAACTTATAAAAGTTTTTCTTTACTTTCTACTAAGCTCTAGCTATCTTTAGCTAAGCTTAGTAATACTTTCTAGGCTCTTTTAGCTTTCTTTATAGCTTAAGAGACCTTACTAAGTTTAGAAGAAGCATATATAAGAGATACTAGAGAGGTTTATATATAAGTAAAGCATCTCTACTTAACTTACTACTTATTCTCTAACTTACTATCTACGCTCTAGTATATCTTACTTACTTTAGCTTTCTTTTCTCTTTCTTTTTACTTTAGCTAGTCTACTCTAGGCTAGTGTATACGCTAGCTTAGCGCCTATATACCTTGCAGTATATATAGCTAGCTACTCTCTTCTCTTAGTAGACTCTTTATCTACTATTCTACCTTTAGTTAAATATAAGTACTTCTCGTCAACCTGAGCCTTCTATGCCCGCAGTCTGCCTTACAGTAAGGCAGCGTTAAGCTCAACCACAGCATGCAGCGATGAGTGTCGCAGCAGCGAACATGCCGAACGCTCAACGCCCCCTGACGCCACATGCGCGAGTGCTGCAGTCGCCGCCCCCAAAAAAGCCTGTCTAAGTCGAGTTCTTGAAGTGCTTCGGCGCGCCCTTCTATAGGGTTGCAATTTCATGTTCCTATTGCTTTCAAAGCTGATGTACATCTCGCTGCGATGTTCATTTACGGAGAGAACCGTGCCCACGTGAACGACACTATCGCCAAGCTTGAACATCATAGTCATCTCGAGGGCTCCTTGACGAGGCGCGCACCGGGGCATATGTCCAGAGTCTGCCTTCTCCTACGCCTGCAAGACTCATGTCTCCGGTGTCTTCTATAATTTCCTTCCTCGAGATGATGGTCATCATCTCCAATTGCTTTCACCTTGGTTCTTGAATATTGTCTAAAAGTGTGGCGGTCGTCAGACGTGTGTCCGCCCTGCTTTCTCGCATTCTTCCGTCTGAGGGGTTTCAGCGCGACCCAAGACTCGGATGGATCTTCTGCTCGGGCTTGCAGTCGTGGTCATCCCTGGATATAGACCCCAGCGAGATAAGGGAGTTGCACTCGATGAGCCCGCCCTCTTGTATGCACACGAGGTGGTCTCTGTGTGCTCGTTCAAGGGCCTCCAGAAGTCTCTGCCCCCCGCTACTCTATACCGCATCCCATCATCAGCTTCACAGTGCCTTGCCTGGTGAAACTTTGCGTCCGGAACCCGACGGACAATTCGGCTAGATAGACGTTGGGGTCGAAGAGGATGTACGTGAACTTGTCCAGCTCTTCCTCTTCCTCCATGTCCATTTCAACATGAGATCATCACAGGTTTGTACGATCGCGATTCTTTAAGAGGGTCAAGTCGAAGCGCAACTGGCCGGCTAGTGTACCATGACCACCTAGCATTCACGAGTTTCTTCGAGCTTGGACAAGACACGTCGCCAATACAACATGCAATCATAGGGATAAAACAGGTATTCATTCGCGACTGTACAACAGAAGACCAATAGTCTGCACATGTGTAGACAAGAAGAAAGAAGGAAACACTCTACGGTACCGTAGGCGTTGAGAGCCTTCCTCTGTACAAACATAAACTCCCCAAAGCCTCGCTCAAGGCACCTTATGTAACCAAGTTCAGCATGCGGAGAAGCTTTGACTGCGTCTTGAGGCTATAAGCCTGTCTAACCAACTCCCAAGAAGCGTCTCCATAGAGGATCGCATTCATTGCATCGTTAACGTAGCATCGCCACTGTTCACTTGGCATGCGAATGCAGTGTTCCTCCTCCGTAATGTTACCGAACCAGGCAACCAGGGACGGAGAGTGGCGCTTAACGTTCTTGACTTCTTCAATAAGCCGAGTAAGATGATTGCCCACACGCTTCCACTTCCGGTATGCACCGTGTTGGCGCTGGACGTGCAAGGCACGCGTGTTATAGTATGGGCTATCCCCAACACATGCCATATAAGTCCGAGCTTCGCTGCCATCATACCAGCGCTCTGAACACCACAGCCGAAGAATGTCTTGCACAATGTTGTTCTGCTCCAGTAGGGCGTCCAGCGTCTCAATCGGCTCCATATAATATTGAAGGCTGGGCGTCGTAAGATGAGCTCCCAAGGACTGTTATCTCGTGATGTTGAGACGCGCCGAGTTGTTGAATTCTCGCATGAAAGATAGTGAAGTCCACGTGAGCTGGGCCAGGTGGATAGCAGCGGCATCAGCGGCTCGGACGGTAGTCAAGAGCCCATTGAGCGCAGCTGTAAGGACTTTATCGCTTTGTAGGTATTGTGGTCAAGCCAACTCAGAAAAGACATCGTCTTGGATGATCTTGACAGTTTGTTGCTCCAGAGACGAAAGATTCTTGAGTCCGTCCTCCATGAGCCAGAATTCCAGGTGCATCCAGTCGTTAGGGGATCGAAGCTCTTCGTAGACAAGGAGAATTAGCGGGGTGAAGAAGAAGCCAGGGGTAGACTTGTGTCCACTCTTGCGCAGCATGAGCATGAGGCCTTGGTAGAAGACTTGCGTTCTCTCGTACCGTGTGACGGGCGGACGGTCCAAGGAGAGCCGACAGCCAAACACAATCGGGCGTGCCATGTATATAGTAAGGATAACAAGGGTGACATGGTAGCCACATGCCAGAGAGAAGAGGCTGGGCCCCCACATACTGTGTTCTAGATTGTTTCATCACTGACCATCTGAAGAGGATGAAGGTGACAAGATCAGAGTATCGGGACGAAGACGGTGTTCTTTGAATTGCGTTGCGATGGGCAGCAAAGGTGCGATGTAATTCTACTTGTCCTCTTGGAGGAATGCGTTCATAGTTGTCGGCTGTGAAGCCCTTCGTTTTTGGCTGCTACGCTTCAAAGTCAGTGGCGTTCGCGCGGATGCCTGCACATACCCGTGGACCTACCTGTGTTTCTGCCTCAGCGCGCTACCACGTTCTGTGTGTAAATACATCGTCTCGAAATTACGCTTGTCCCGACGGCGAGTGATCGAGATGCACAACTATCTCGCCTTTCACAGGACGAAGATGCGCAACTGATGAGATACTTCTTCTACTAAGGTGACTACCTCTCTATACATAGGCAGTCCTTGCAAGAGCCTTTGATATACTGTTTGCAAGACTCTGTTTGCGCTCATATAAACGCTCTTTATCCTGAGGCGACTGGGTCTAGAATCCAACACTCCCGTGGCCAGAGGCCAGCTACAGGCCACTGCAACTGGTCCCACATGATCTAGAGTATCACCCGGGTACGGGTACCGGAAGTTTCTTTTTTGAGCCGCTGGCGGGTATGAAGCTATTGCACTGATTGGTATTGTGTCGCTTCCAAGGTTGTAGCAGTGACTTTACTCGTTTTGGATGATTGGTTGTGCAAATCTCATAAGACGTCGTCTCAGTATCCACTTCGAATTGCCTTTGTTTGGTCAGTGCGGAGGCGGCTGTAATTACGCGAGCCCCATCTTCGCACTGCAGGGTTGTTGTGTCCCTGTTGTCGATCAGCACATGTGTTCCAACGACAAAGAAGCAGAGATGAGGCGATTCGACTCAGACAACGACTAACTAGCTGGTCATCTTAGCAGTAACTTCGTTTACACCTTCTGCCCCCGGAGCGGATTGTCTGTCGCGTTCAGCTAGACTATGGCCACAATAGGATCCAATTCAACATCTAGTTTGTAAGCTATTCTGGTTAAGTCTAAATTTTCTCTCAACTCCTCTATCTAGCTCGCCTATGCGCTGACTATTGCCAAAGTTGGCTTCCTTCGGACATGGTAGACACTTCTGCCATGTTGGATAAAAAGCTCCTACATGGAAAAACCATGCCTCTGGTCAAATCCCGGGTATCTCCCAAACCGGCGCATGCCCGTCAGATTGCACAACAAGGTGTGCATCATATCATCTGCATGCTGCGCCTTTCTTACAAGGCCGCATCGGCTTAGACGCTGGAGCACTTCTTCGCGCAGTTTTAATCCTTTGGAGTTTGGGCGCTCATTTCCCTTGCCGCAGAATTGAATTGCCGCAGGTGTAAGCTTCGCCTGTAACACGACCAGACTGCCCAAGGATAGCTTGTGTGCTAAGAAAACGTACTTGGAACCGCTCTGTACCCAGGCCATGACCTTTTCCTTGAAGTCATCGTATTCCAGGCTCGCTGCATTTTCGTGATGCTCATCTATGAGCGCAGTGTAGTTGCTGTACATTTTGCGGTAGAGTTTCTCAGATCGGATCGATCCTGGGCGAGGAAGGCGGTTGTATCCTGTCTGCCGTTTTGACCAGTTGGGGTCCCATGTGACGAAGAAATAGATATACATAACGATGCAGATCAGATTTAGTTTCGCACATCGATCTTCAACGTTTTCCATAAGTTCCATTGCAGTGCGAACCTGCATTGCGGGCCCAGAATCAATCTTAGCGCGTAATGTATCGTCTAGCCGACCGTCGGAGAAGAGTAGATTGAGAGATGGCTCGGCGATGATGTGGCGTATGAAGGGACCAGGAGACGGGAGGTCGGAAGGTACTTCCATGCCATCGAATTGGCCCCAGAACCATCCTGCAGTGTGCCTCTTTTTGCTTGGAGTGTCTGCTCTAAGCCATGTTGCGAAGCCTTCCACTTTACGGACAACCACAGCATGGTTCGGAATGCTGTCTGGAAACACGGTATCAAAGCTGGGCGCATTCGAGATGCTCTGATCCATGTTAGTGACCGCTCGCGATTGAAAGTGTGCAAACAAATACCTTTTGTGATACAGTTTGAAAAACCCCGACGATAGATTCGAGAGCTGACAACACACCCTCATCATGGCTCACCTGGCGGTGAGGATCCGAATGGTCTAAATCGATGGAATCGTCGTTAGAACCATTGGAACTGTCCGCATCGTTGGGATTGTCCGAATCGCTGAATCCTTCCCAAACGCTGGAACTGTCATTATTGCTGGAGCCGTCCCAATCGTCATTGAAATCGTTGGAAACGTTGTAATCGTCAGGGGGTTGCTCTTTGGGCTGCTGGTCAACGAGACGCCGAGAAAGTCTTGATCGAAGAGGCATGATTCACAAGAGTGGACTGCACAAGTCGACAGCTTTGTAAGAATTAAGGACAAAGGCGCCTCGAGCTATGGAGTGGAAATGTATGGAGTATGCCAGATGACTGGAGACGTAGCTGTAACTCGTTTTATACATGAGCAAGGTTGTCGATGTGCTGGCCCCCCGGTGCATCGGGCGAAAAAGCATGGTGCGGAATTTTGTCATTGCACCGCGCAATTCTAGCATTAGACCTCGGGGAGGTTCAAGTGTCTAGCGATGTTGATTCACCATGGTGCGTCTTGACTCTGGTTCTGCGACGACCGGGCAAAGGCCTCACCTGCATGAACAGCAGCGAAAGCTAGCCGAAATAGGCACAGAGTCGAGCAGTCGAATGCAGTGGCGCAAGATCATCTCGATGATCAACGTCTTGATTGACAAGCAGATCCAAGACAAGTGTGCTACACTGCTTTTTCTCAGCGCTTGCATCATGCGTGAATAGCGGTACAATCACACTGCCATTGTATTGGCGTCGATGAGCTCATACAATTCGACAGGTAATTGTGTCCTATCCTCAATGTGGGTTTGGCCAGGCTGCAGGTGCTGGTTGCAGCCTCACACTCCCGACGCGAGTTCACGTGCCGACGTGAGCGACTTGCAACGTTGGAAGTGCCTACCTACCGTTGCAGGCGGTGGGGAGCCTATGTCCGCGTTATCGCCGAGCCAAAAGTTTGTGACGTGCAGCGACGAGCAGGAGCACGACCACAACCACGGCCACAACCACAACAAGATACACAACAAGATACACAACCCCGCCCCGCTCCGCCCCGCCCACCAGGTCCATCTGCACCGCCGGGCGACATGGCCACAGCTATGGCGCCCCCGAGCGGCCGCACGCGCATGCGACTGACCATCGAGGTGCTTCCCCTCGCGCCAGACGACGCCCACGGACCGTACCGCTCCCACGCCCTCGCCAGCTTCAAGGGACGCAGGTTTGCGCTGCCCGTGAGCACCGACGACACATTTGAGACCGTCTGGGGCCAGATTGAGCATCGCTACAAGACCAGCTATCTCAACGCGCAGCAGGCGGCCAACTTCACCATCAAGAAGCTGCAGGACGCCTACGACTGCGACCTCTTCATGACGGACACGGTCGGCTCCATCTACGAGGGCGAGACAGATGCGACGCTGCGCCTGATCAAGGTCGTGCCGACCTTCCTCGACCGCGCCTTCTCCGTGCCGAGCACCTCCAGCCTGCGCCCTGCTCATGCGCAAAAGCGCGCCCGCGGACTAGAACAGCCAGCCGCGACCAAGCGCCGCCGGACAGACCAGTCTGTCGAAGCAATCGACCTCGATGCTCTTGGCCCGCCGCGCGACCAGCCCGTACCCTCGACCGAACACGACACCCGCGGCCAGAGCAGGAGCAGGAGCAGGAGCAGCCACAGTCGCACAAGCAGTCGCACAAGCAGATCCGCCACTGGATCCTCTTCTCTGGTCCTCGTCAATGGCACACGCACGGGACAGGCTGAGTTTGCCCCTGCAATCAAGCAAGAGTCCCCCGAATTCGGCTCTCCACCGCCACGGCATCGTCCGACACCCCACCGGAGCCCTAAGCTCCCACAAGAACATGGCCCTTCTCGGCGCACACCCTCCAGAACGCCCGCTGGTTCTGTGCAGCCCGCGGCAGGCCCGAGACGTGGATCCGAGGCAGTTGGACCTGTTGACGAGCACCTGGCTGTCTCTACACACGATGCGAATGGAGATGCGGACAAGGAGGGTGTGCAAACACCACAATCGACCACCCAAGAGTCAGCCATACAACACTCCCTGCCGCCCACGTCGGCACAACGGCCCCAGACCCCGCCGCGTGTTGCGACCAGGCGACCGAACGTATACGATGTGCCTAGTTCTCCGGAATTCCTCACCAATGAACCGAAAAAGGCAAAGTCGACCTATGGTCGCAATGTGACGACCCCCCGATCCGCACTCGGCTTTCTGCGTACTCCAGTTAAGCCAGCCTCGTCCTCGCCTAGGAGGCCTGGCACCTTGAAGAAGCCCGCAAACGTACTCCAGTCGGACGTCAATACCTCGAAAACGGCTGAATTGGCACCCGTGCCATCATTGACTACCTCCTCGAAGAACGAAGGCCCAGCGTCAGCGTCAACGTCAGCGCAGCCCAGAAGGCGTGGAAGACCACGTATACACCCTGAGCAACTCGCCGTGACCAGTGCAGCTACGCCTCGCAAAAACCTTGACCCTCCGTGCAAGACTCCTCTTACCACCAAATCCTCACCCGACCTGCGCCAGCCAGCACGTTACCTCACTCACTCCCCGTCAACAGCTGACTCGGCAAGCGATCGTGCTTCTGAAGAGCCATCGGCGGTACCGCCAAAACCTGAAAATGGGACTGCTGCCGGCAGCGATTCGCCATCAGCTCATGATCAGAGCTCGACCGAGGAAGAGAGTGACACTGATGTTCAGCAAACTGGTCTACCAGGTGCCGCTCCATATCAGATCACCTCGTCACCGCCAACCTTCCAGAACGCACCAGTCTCCACACCTTCTTTTCCAGCGACCAGCCAGCCAACATTCTCGCAGCAGGTCCGACAGACACCTATCCCATTGCCCTTGAATGCCGCACGAACTGAAGCTAGTCGTGCAGTTGCAAGATATACCGGCTTTCCTACTCTCCGGGAGCAACTTGTTGATGCCAAGACTCCGTCCAATTCTAGTCAAATGAAGCCTTACGATCCGAGATTGGCCAACTTAGCGAAGCTCGCGGTGGAATCCGATGTAAAATCCGCGTCGGTGGACGATAGTAGCGATGAGGAAAGTAGCAGCAGTGACAGTGATTGAGCTGACATGTCACACTGGCGAGTTGGATGCATGATCCTGAAGCTGTACGAAGCTTTTTGCCCACTTAAAACGGACCTGTGCATACCTGCGAACATCTTCAAGAGTAGGAATTCTCATTTATTTTGTAGCTATGTATACCCGCGAACATGTTGAGGAGTCAGAACCTCCATCTTGCACAGCTAGTCGACAGAGCTCTGTGAGAATGGCTTACTGGAAGGTCGCGGAGGTTGGATGGATTGTTCAATTTTATAGGCGATAGGAAGGAACAACACGAAAGCAGTAATACCGAAACAGCTCGCCAAATAGAAAAGTGTAGTGATGCCTTCTCATCTGTTACCAGGTTTAGATACTCGCATCTTCCTTCCGACGACTCACAAAGATCAATGGGCACGAAGCAACCCCAAACACTTGGATTCCATCGCTTGCCAGTGGTTCCGGACTTTGCCTTCGCACGCTTCCAAAGATTTGTGAATACTGCTTGTCCAACAATCAATAACGGAAGACTGGACGGCAGCGGCCATGGCAATGTTTGATTGGTGAGACATGAATACGGTGTGTTGAAAGCGGAACTGATGCTCGTACTCGTTTGCTGACAGGGAAGATTTCGATACCGATGTTCTGTGATGTGTCGGTCTGTCTGCGCTCGAGGCCATGATTTGTTGCTCTCTCTCACTCGGGAAGGAAGAATGTTGCTTCAGGATGTGGCGACAGGCAAGCTATGCGGTCATCCTCCCCATTAGGAGGTGCGTTCTCTTGTCTCCTTCTGCACGTGTCAAGCGCTCACCACCTACCTGCTAAAATAGGCGTCTGAAGTGCCAACAAGATCCACGAACTAGCAATCGTACTCGCAGCCATATTAGTTAGAAGATTTGGATTACTTAAAGTGGCTTTGCTGTAGTCTTCATTGAGGCAGAAACCCCTGCCGAAAGTAGTTCGGTCCAGCGAAAACCGCGGCTTCTTCGATGCAATAGCTTCATGCAAGTCTCATAGCAACCGGAATAGCTCCTGACAAGCGTCACTTAACAACATAATGCGATTGCTATCTAGTGACTGCAGCAGTCTTGACTCTAGCTGACATGGCTTTATACAAGAGCGAAGACAGTAACATGTCTGCGAAGTTCCTGTGGTCAGAAACCAATATGGAATGACATCTCGAAAAAACGAAGAAACCAAAGGTGCCTGCGCAAAGCAGGCGGGTATGCGAATCGAAACAAAGGCCGACATTCATCCAAACGCCGGGTATCAATAAAGAAGGGAACTGCCATAGCCTCTGTCCCCGTACGCTTCCTAGTGGCCACAGATCCAGTCCCGCCAGCCAGTTATTAGAAAACAAAAATTATCGAGAGAGTACGAATTAGGTGGCAGTAAGCTACCGTGTTGAGGATCTGGAGTTTCAATCAAAAGCCGTCTCCTCACGCACCATGAGTGGATTTACTCGCGGATCCAGCCGACCATCTCCTCGCGGAGTAGAACCGTTCGAGCCCTTTCGAGGTCCACCCATGTTCATCAGTAGCATGCCACTTTCCCGCCGTCTCTGTCGTTGCTCTCTGGCACTGCCAGATTGAACAGCACCATTGAGACTTCCATATCCTTCGCCTCCCTGATATGGCTGCTCATAAGACGGAGCTTCATAGCTAGGGCGCATAGGTATAAATCCAGCATCGTATCCGGTATTTTGGCCTTGCGACTGTTGTGGAGGTTGCGGAGGTGGATACGATGGCGCTGCAAGTGGTTGGAACTGCTGGGAAGGTCGATCGTAGTGTTGTTGGAAGGACGTCTGATTGTACGCAGGCGTAGGAAGATCAGAGAACATTTGTCTCCTAGGTGAACGGATCGCCTCGTCGCCGAGGTGGGAGTTGCTCCTGATTTCGTGGATGGGTGAGCTCGCTTCGTCTAGAGCTGTGCCAAAAATATCGGCAAAATCGGTCAGAAAGAAGGATATGAGAGGTGCTGGTATGTTGAGTGTCGGTGCAAAGACAATGCCAACATTTCTGACAGTCATCTTGTTCAACCCGGCGTTGTCGACAATCTCGATCAAGAATGAGGACAAGTGACGCAGCAGCTCAAAGTTGGCATGAGGCAGCTTATGTACAAGTACGTTGAAGGTCTGGATCTTCTTGCTGCGCTCGTCCATATCTGTAGGTCGTCAGTCATTCGTCTTATTTAGATGAGTATACAACTCACCAAGAACCTTCAAAAAATCTAGATGTAGCTCCCGAGTAAGAATCGAAGACGGTAGCTCACGCAGATACAGCTTCAGTAAAGAGGCCACTGCGTGCACATCGTAGTATTGTCCGTCGAGGAGCCTAATATCTCCCTCTGTATTGAAGCGTTCGCGGAGGCCTTTGATGACTATATTTGAGCCACTGAGGCGGAAAATGCCTTCTTCGTTGATAGCCTTCTTTTCCTGGAGGTATTCCAAACACCTATAGACAACAGCAGGCAATGGCACATTGACACCAGCAGGTTGAGAGTATTCCACAGCCTCCTGTAGAGGAATGCCGAAAATGCTCCGATTCGGAGGCGGTGCGCGGTATTCAACTTGGCCTAATGCTTGGCCGCTGCTGATCTGAACGGGGGCAAGATCAGAGGAGCCACCTCGGCCCCTGAAGCCGAAGATGCTGCGCTTCTTGTCCTTGACTGCAGTTTGTCCAGAGGACGACTTGTTGCCCCAGAACTCGGCGTCCTTGATTGGCGCGCCATTGCTAGGACCAGAGATGGCTGGGTAATGACCTGAGCTGTCTTGAGCGAACGTGGAGTTCTTTGGCGATCCTCGTGCTGGCTTACTGGCCAAGGCTTCTCGAGTGTGGGGTCCGCGGACTGGCGCTTCGGCGGCAATGGTGTCATCGTAACTGAGACCCTGAAGTCGATCCAGATTTGCTTGATCTGGACTATCCTTCCTTGATGGACGTGGAGACTCTTGATTGTGCTGTGTCTTCTGTAGTCGAGCGGCTGCAGGGACTGGTACTTCGATAGGCGAAGTGTCCTCAGGCCAGTCAACATGCTGTAGAAGAGCGTCGACCCACGCATCGCGCTCTTCGTCATTTTCAGCACAGAGCACGTGGCGCACAAGACTCGAAGAATCCTTACGCTTAGGCTCAAGTATGAGGAAAGCGTGTCGGTACTGGTTATCTTCTGTGTCATCCTTTCTCTGGGGCGACTGATTCGACTGCTGCTGAGATTGCTTGCCGATTTGAGCATTCTGTAGTTTTATGGTACCCAAATGAGCGCCTCCCTCGACTTCGTAGTATCTGAACTCTGGTCCATCCAACACAAAGAAGCGAGCTTTCCAGCCACCAAAGTTCTTGCCGCGCTTCGTCAGGTAGCCTTCTTTCCTCTGCCGAGTCTTGGGGACTGCCTCTACTGGGGCAAGAGTGGGTTCTGGGTTCAGTCTGTCTCCAGCCTGAGCGCCAATGACATCAGCCGAAATATAATCGCAGACGATTAAAGCAGCGTCCTCGCTCATAGGCGTCTCGAGAATCGTGTCAAAGTAGTCATTGAGGGCAATTCTGCGAGCATCAATTCTAGCTGGAGCATGCCCACCAAACAAAGCTCTCTCGGGTACCTTGGCATGCAGATCGCATAACGCTCTCAGCTGGGAGTCCAGAACTGGCAGTGTAGCAGTGGTCTTCTCCACTCGCCAGAGTTGCTTATTGTTCGAACGAGAATATACGGCAAGGATGAAGACCGGATCTTCTTCTTGTGGTCTAGGTGCCAGGAAACTGAGTCGCGATGGACGGAGCCTAGAGGAGAATACTTTGACTTCAATGGAGGGTAAAGCATTCGGAGGAAGAAGCAAGCCGGGGTACTGATCAGAGACGAGGCCTTTGTACACGTGCTCCGCGTCCGGAGCTTCAGTGAGGGTCGGACTGCTCGAGCTAGAGTCGGGGCTTGGCTGCGCCCCGGGAACTGCCAGCAGGGAGGAGGGATTGACATTGTTTGGCTGAGCTGCGGGCGGAGATTGATATGATTGAGGTGTGTTCGGTGGAAGTGGTCCGAGTTGCTGCAGATTTCGCGTGGCTGGATGAACTATTGCACTGGGCGACATGGGCGGAGATGCTACTGACTGTTTAGGGTGTCTGGGCAGCGGTGATCCGAGGGGTCTGTCGGTGGGCCGAGGACTTGATGGAAGACCGGGACTCATCAGCGGCGATCCTAAAGAGCCGACGCTCCGGTTAGCCATCATGGAGCTGTCCGAGTTGGTGGGGCTGAGCAAAGCGTTCAGTGAACTTGGTGGAGGGTGCCGCGGAGACAGTGGAAGCCCAGCTACAAGTGGGTTGAACTGGCGAGGGGAGAGGGGCGGTGCGGCAGCTTGCGCTTGGGGCAGATCTGTAGCTTCTGCAGCGCCGGGCGTCTGCTTGCCCTTGCTCCCACTCTTCTTCTTCTTGGACCTGCTCCGGGCTTGTTCGTCCTTCACAGCCATGGCTTCCCGGACCCGGTCGTCATCTTCGCGCGTCTTCCTCCGACCCCGCTGTTCGACAATGGGGATCTCGTCGGCTTCGAGTGTATCGTCGTAGTCTTCGTCGTCAACATCGTCGCGGGTAGCCTGGTGGAGGTGGGCGCTGGTTGTAATGGGCTTGGAGAGGTTCAGTGGAGCTGGAGGGGCCTTCCGTAGCGGCTGTGTGGTCTTAAGTGGAGGGGACTCAAAGCCATTTCCGCCGACCACGGGGGTTGCTTGCGTGACTGAAAGCTCGGGGGGATGCAGTCGTGAGTCGGAGGGCGGAGGGGTGGTGGTTGGTGGCGGCGTTTCAGGCTTCAAAGGCTGCTGCGGGGGCTGGGGGTAGGGAGGCTCGTTGTGCAGGAGCGTGTTCAGACCGAGTCCCTTGCTGCCCACGTGTAGGGGCTGCACTGAGTAGTCAGTGGGGGAATTGGTGCTCGAGACGGGGTTCGAGGCGGTCAGGGGCTCCGAGTGCGAGGGGGATTGTGCTAGTTGCGAGTCGGGAATCAGCTGCGGTGCTGGATGCTGCTGAGTTAGAGGCGACGTCTTGTGCTCGGGGTGTTTAGGGGGTTCCTCGGGCCTGTCGCTGAGGGCGGGCGACTGGCTGTCTTCGCGCTCGGCGGTTGAGGCAAGTGTGTCGGAGCGCTGCAGTGCGCCGGGCACTGGAGGCGCCTGGTCGTTGAGCTCCCTCAGCTTCCGACGGTAGCGGTCCTTGTCCTTGAGCGCGCGCTCGAGGTCCTTTTGCAGGCCAATGACCATGGACCGCTGCTTCTCAACGAGCCGCCAGAGTTGGGCGTTGTGGTTCGCGGTGCTCTGCTTGTCCTTCCACATGGACGTCAGGGCGGCCTCGGGAGAGCCTGCCGCGGCGATGAGGGGCCGGCCATGTCTGGCGGGTTAGGCGAGACTGGTGTCTTGCGAAGGGCGGTAGGCATGGCCGACAGGGACGCGCTGCGAGGCGCCCGAGGACATGGACGAGGCGGCTGAGTCCATCGATGGGCTGCGGATGGGGGCTGTAGGTCTCGTCTCAGGGCGGTTGGGACGCGACGGCGGGGGCATGGCGGCGGGCGAGGAGGGAGGGGAGAGGCCCGCCAACGACGACAACGTGGGCGACGAGGCGTGACGGAGCTGGGCATGCCCAGCGGGACGCCGTGATGTGGTGGAGGGAGTTGTGGCAGGAAAAATAGCAGGCGTAGGAATGTTCGCAGGTGCAGACGGGAGGTGGTGATGTTGGTGCTGCTGCTGCTGCTGCTGCTGGTGGTGCAGCTCTTCCTCGGCCAGCAGCTGGTCGAGCTTCTCGCGCGGCGATCGTGGTGGTTCGTGATAGGGCGTGGCAATGCTGTTGCTGGCGACCAGAGGGCTTGGGGCGGGCTTGCGACGGCCTGCCAGTGCGCGACGGTGCTGCTCTGCGCTGGTGGCCGGCACGTTCTGCGAGCGCGTCGAGTCGCGGGGCGGGTGAATGCTCGCCGCAAGGGACGGTGAGGGTGCTGGAAGGGCGGGAGGAGGCCAAGTCGTCGTCGAGATGGCTGCATCAGCACCAGCATCAGCATCAACATCAGCATCGGCATCAGCCCTCATGCTGGCTCGTAACCGAGACTAGCCCCGGTTGTGGGTGCTGGGTGCATGTCCGATGGTTGATGGGCCAGCCCGTATGTGGTATGCCTAGGTACAGACGGCTATGCGACCAGCGACGCGGTGGGGATCAGCTGTGTTTCGCAACCTCGTGCGTCTCTGGACTGCGCGCGCAGGATTCGAATTTCGTCTGCCGCCGTCTTGTCAGCGCAGCGCTCGCTTCGCCCCTAGCACGCCCTCGAGACTTGAGGCAGACCACCGCTATGTAGAAATTTGTCCACGTTCCACACCACAAGAGTCATGTGCAAACAGCCGTGCCGACGGTGTTATTCGCTGCTCTACGCGCCTAGCTTTCGGGCCCTGTGACGAGCGGCCAACTAGCATGGGCAATGTTTAATTCAACGCCCCCCCCCCCCCCCCCCCAATGAGCCATTCCTCACGCAAACGGGCTACTAGCCGACCTGTTCCTGCGTCCTGCAGCGCTTTGTCCCCCATGATCGCCTCCCAAATGCCCGCACCCAGACGCTCCAGAAACTGAAACCGTGTGGAGCGCCCGTCTCGTCGCGGTCGGCGTCAAAGGGCCTCTTTAGCCGGCCCATTGGACCACGCCAAAGCCTTGCTAGCCGTCATCACCGTCTGCTTCCACACAGTCTGCATACGAGTCCGCCCTGTTAGCCTCTGACCATGCTCGAGGGTGTGTGGCATAGACTTTGCCCGTTCCCCTGCGCCAATTGGCTTGGACGCTGCCATGGCGTATTTCGAGCATGGTGTATCATATCGTAGGCGAAGCTTTTCGACACCACCAAATGAACGCTGCCCCACTACGCGTCGATCAAGTCGCTCTGAGTTGACAACCCCAGGCTGAACTGTGGACCTGTGCGGCGCCCAAGCGGTCCTGCATCTGCCTCCGTACTTGCTACTTCACTACATGATGTGTCATGGATGCATGGCAATCTGCAAACATCCCTTAGCACTGCACCGCGCAATCGTACGACTCTGCGAATGTGTGAGCTTTTTGAAACTCTTGATTGCTCACGCGAATGCGGAATGCAGGGAGCCGCCGTCGATCACACACTAGTGTCCAACGGTCGGCGGAGCTGTACCTCTCAGGCAACGAGTCTCCTGATCGATCACTTCTTCCGTCATGGATCATGGAGACGACATACACAGTATCCGCAGGGAAAAAACAATACTGCTTGCTTTCCTCCGTTGTATAACAGGCCAGCTTGCAGTGAAAAGTGAGGTGTTGTTGAGTGTCACCTCCAATGACGCGCACAGCGAGCCTGAGGCCGATAAAGCTGCAAGTACTTCTGCATACTGCACGCATTCGTAAGTGATTCTTGTAGGCAGCTTGTATCGACAATGAGCCACAGACCAAGCTTGCCTAGAGAACTCTCTATCTAGCTCTGCTAGATATATGATTGCAAACTCAAAGGCGAATACCGACGTGCGACCCATTCGTGATCGCGATCCTTACGACGGCATGTCCCCCGTGAAGTCTCTCGCCATGGAGCATAAGACCATACGATCGCATTGGCCTTGACCACACCTTTGGGCGCCAGCTGATTTTAGTTTCGTTTGCGTTGCCAACGCCAACACTACCAGCAAACACTTCTCTAAGATGATCGTCTGATTTACGATGTACACGTGGGAGCATATAGGATGAACCGAGAAATCACACGGGATGAAGAATGCAAGTGTCACACGAAAGGACATCTTGTAATAAAGTCGGAAATCTGTGTGTTTATGCTGCATTGAAATCGCGCTTGACAGTCGTCCGGGGCCAGAAGATGTAAGCACCGCTTCTACAAAACTATCGTTGGCTCCCGCTGCTATCGCGACAATGACATGTGCTAAGTCTTGTAACGCCATCCCATGCATACTTGTGCCTGTACAATATGATACATGGCAAATTGCCCTCTCGACTACAACTTGTACCCGTCCTTGGCCTCCTCGTTCTACCTTTGTTTAACTTTCGTGCAGTCGTGATCTGGCCTGGGTCAGCATGGATGCATAGCGACCAAGAACGAACATCGGTACCTGTGTTCTTGTTCTCTGCCCCCGGACAGGCAAGCCCATTGCATGCCGTCGTCCTCGATATGTGCCCATGTCCTTGAGCCGCCGTATGTTTTCCTGCACTTCTCTGCGCAAATCATTCTCAATCTTCATGTTTGAAAGCTCTGCAGTAAGTTCCAGCACGGTCGTGTTCTTCAGGCTGCCGACCTTGGCCCATGGATGGATGTGGAACTTGGCCATCAGGCCTTGCGAGACTTTTGGACCAATGCCGAAAAAGCTTTCGAGGGAGCGCTGGGCACGTTAGGTTGGGAGTCGCAATCGCGCGTCGCGGGGGCGAGTTACCTTGACAAGCGTCGCCTCAGTAAAGTTGAAGCCGTTCAGAAACACCTGCAAGAATCAGTGATAGTCTTTGGCCTCCATTTGAATACACACCATTGTGCTGCAGTCCCGGAGAGCCCAGTTGCCTGGTGGCTGATTGAGTTGGGTCTGCTACAGCATTGCGGCGGGCGCGAAACCTCCGGCGGTTTTTCCGACCCGCAAGTGCGGCTAGTGCGACGCTGCGGAGCTCAAGAAACACCACGTTTCATAAGAGCTCCCAGCGACTCCAGGGGCACAGCTGCACCATAAAACCCCTCCACCCGCCCTCCAATTGACGCCTCCACTTCGACCAGTCATCATGGCTTCCATTCAGAGATTCGTCATCTCCTTTCCTACTGATCCTTTCGGTCACTTTCGTGTTCTTTGCACAGACCTCCTGGAGGCGACAAAGGGACCCAAGATTACCCACAGCGGAAGCGATCGCGCATCATGTTCGTTGTGGATAGTTACTGAAGTACTGTCAAGCGAGAGAGTCTACTTCGACATGTACCCACGGCGATGAAGAGCTCGGACGCATTGTCATTGGCCTCTACGGCAATGACAGTCCCCAAGACTGCCGAAAACTTCCGGTACGACCACACCTTCATCGATATCAAGTACAATGCCAGAAATAGGAGAAAGCAGTCATCAGAATGCTATACCAGAGCCTAAAGTTGTGTCCACAACAAGAACTGACATCATTGTAGCGCTCTAGCAACTGGAGAGAAAGGCTTCGGCTACGAAGGCTCCACTTTCCACCGCGTCATCAATCAGTTCATGATTCAAGGAGGTGACTTTACTCGTGGTGGTAAGTTCTTGTTGCTCTCTTCACTTCGAAACACGCTGACGTCCTTCGCAGACGGCACTGGCGGCAAGTCGATCTACGGCGCGAAGTTCCCCGACGAGAACTTCAAGCTCAAGCACACTCGCAAGGGTCTCCTCAGCATGGCCAACTCGGGCAAAGACACGTACGTTCAGCTTGTAGTCCTCTGATCGCCTCACCTAACATATTGCAGCAATGGATCCCAGTTTTTCATCACTACAGTCGTGACAAGCTGGCTTGATGGCCGCCACGTTGTCTTTGGCGAAGTTATTGAGGGCTACGATGTCGTTGACAAGATCGAGAACGTGCCCAAGGGCTCGGGCGACAAACCGGTCAAGACGGTCAAAATTGCCAAGAGCGGGGAGCTCGAGGTGCCTGAGGAAGGTATACACGCCGAACTCTAAGCCAGTGCGGAATCACGCTGGCTTGCAAGGTTGGAGAGCTGCTGATAGTTTCTTTCTCTCAAGATACATATGGTGTTGCGGAGCCTGTTAGTGCAGATGAGAATCTCGACATCACTGCACCCAAGCCAAAAGCGAGCAGCGTCGTGGACGTTGCTTCGCCCCCTGCCGCTAAAGGGGACAAGTCTAAGACCCAGGTTCCTATATCAACCTCAGCTGTGGAGGGACTATCGACTGCGCAGAAACTCTTCTTCGTTGGAGCAATCGTTGGAGTATGTGCGATATTCTTGCGATCGCGCGGTGGCAAAACTAGTGCCGGCGCGGATAGATTCAAGGACAGAAACATGGCTTAGATATGAGAATACGATCACGAGTGCTTTATCCATGTTTTCAAGATTTGCTTCATGTCGTTCAATGGTTATATCGATAACCTGGGGTCCCAGCATGACATATGAACTAGGCCGCTATTGCGCGAGCATACTACATGTTCTCACCTATGAAGGAAAGCGTCCAGAGTGCAACAGCAAGCGGCTCGTCCAATAGCCTGAAACTATACACAGAAGAAGTCATTTCACGAAGTTTGACCATTCCGAACAATCCGTTCAATCTCCATATCTTTTCAGACCTGTTCTCGCCATCACGGTCGAAGCCTAGTGACACTGTATAGTCAGGCACCCTGGTCACTTTGCATACCAAGTGATAACATGGAGTATGCGGAGGTACTCGAAGATGCTGCCACAACAGGCTGCAGAACGCTGAAATCAGGTTGTCACACGGCGTCATATGCAGAGAGCAACAAACGGGGCCAGTCAGAAGCAAGCGACAGTCGTCGACGTTCATGTTCACCGCCCATGTTCACCGCGATTCGCCACCCTGGTGAGAGAACGACGCTAGTCTCCGTTGCGGTTAGCTCGAGCGTCAATCCATTTTTTGCACGGGCAATTTCTTTAACTGCTGTCCCTCCTCTCTCCCGCAACACCCATCAAACCCTTATCTAGTGTGTATTGCACAACTCTACAGCCACAGTATCTGTGAAGTCCACTCTTTCTTGGTCTTCACTCTTCTTCTCTTTCTCGTTTACAGGTCAGAGGCGTTTGCTCCTTTCCTGTGCCGACGAGTCTCAGGCGCGTTTCTGCCTGCCCTTCCGAGTTTCGTCACTTAGACTTGTCTTCTTTCGCCTGCCGCTCACAGCTGAACCAGCTGAGACAGGGAAATCGTAATATTCGATTCTACGAGACTTCTCAATCCACTATCGCAACACTCTTTACAGCCTTGCGTCAACACCACTATTATGGCTGAACAACTCGACATGGGTCGGCTGAACCTGAACGACTCTCAGCATGCCCCTCAGAACGGCTTCAACGGCGAGCGCTCTGCCTACATCCCCCCGCATCTGCGCGGGCGTCCCCAAGGTGGCCCTCCGCCCATGAACGCGGCCCCTCCCATGATGAACGGCGGCGGAGGTGTTGGTGGTAGTGCCTGGGGTCCAGCTCCCGGAGGTCCTAGTCCCGCTCCTCCGTAAGTGATCTATCCTCTCCCTACCTAGCCGTGTGCTAACGATGAACAGTGCTCGCTTCGACGGACCCCCTCCAGGCCAGATGAACGGCGGCGGCAACTGGGCTAACGCCAACGCCCAAGCTTTCACACCCCGCGGACGCGACGGTCCCCAGGGCGGCGGTGGCTGGGGCGGTGCTGCGCCCGGAAAGTTCGACCCCTCAGCATACGGCAAGCCTGGTGGTGGCGGAGGAGGTTCTGCCCGTGGCTCAGGCGATGGACAATGGAAAGACGGCAAGCACGTTCCCGGTCCCTCAAACCCGCGTGTTGAGCGTGAGCTCTTTGGCGTGCCCAACGACCCCTCTAAGCAGCAGACTGGTATCAACTTCGAGAAGTACGATGATATTCCCGTGGAGGCCTCCGGGCAGGGTGTTCCGGAGCCTGTTACCCGCTTCACCAACCCGCCCCTCGACGATCACCTGCTGAGCAACATCGAGCTCTCGGGCTACAAGGTCCCCACTCCCGTGCAAAAGTACTCGATTCCCATCGTTATGGGTGGTCGTGATCTGATGGCCTGTGCGCAAACTGGTTCCGGAAAGACTGGTGGTTTTCTCTTCCCTATCCTGGCTCAGGCTTTCCAAAACGGCCCTAGTCCTCCTCCTACCGCTCAGGCTGGCGGATACGGACGTCAACGCAAGGCTTATCCCACGTCATTGATCCTGGCCCCCACTCGCGAGTTGGTCTCCCAGATTTTCGATGAGGCGCGCAAGTTTGCCTACCGATCTTGGGTCCGACCCTGCGTCGTCTATGGTGGTGCAGACATTGGCTCGCAGCTCCGCCAGATCGAGCGTGGTTGTGATCTTCTCGTGGCCACTCCTGGCCGTCTTGTTGACCTTATTGAGCGAGGCCGCATTTCTCTTGCGAGCATCAAGTACCTCGTTCTCGATGAGGCTGATCGTATGCTGGACATGGGTTTCGAGCCTCAGATCCGCCGCATTGTCGAGGGCGAGGACATGCCTCCTACCGCCGGCCGTCAGACGCTCATGTTTTCAGCTACTTTCCCCCGCGATATTCAGATGCTGGCACGTGACTTCTTGAAGGAGTACATCTTCCTTTCCGTTGGCCGTGTTGGTTCCACATCTGAGAATATCACCCAGAAGATTGAGTATGTGGAGGATGCTGACAAGCGCTCCGTACTGCTCGATATTCTACACACCCATGGTGCGGGTCTGTCCCTGATCTTCGTCGAGACGAAGCGCATGGCGGACTCCCTCTCCGACTTCCTCATCAACCAAGGCTTCCCTGCTACCTCTATCCACGGCGACCGTACTCAGCGTGAGCGCGAGAAGGCTTTGGAGATGTTTCGATCAGGTCGCTGCCCAATTCTGGTGGCCACCGCTGTTGCTGCTCGGTACGTTAATATGTCCTGGATATCTTCAACTCATTGATACTACTATGAACGCATGCTAATACATCATTTAAGAGGACTTGACATCCCAAATGTCACTCACGTGGTCAATTATGACCTGCCCACCGACATCGATGACTATGTTCACCGCATTGGTCGTACTGGTCGTGCCGGAAACACTGGTATCGCTACCGCTTTCTTCAACCGTGGCAACCGCGGTGTTGTTAGGGACCTTCTCGATCTGCTAAAGGAGGCGAATCAGGAAGTGCCTAGCTTCCTCGAGAGCATTGCCCGTGAAGGCTCTGGATTTGGTGGTGGTGGCGGCCGAGGTGGTCGTGGCGGAGGCCGTGGCAGAGGCAATGCCGCAACTCGCGATGTCCGTCGCATGGGCGGTGGAGGAGGCGCCGGCGGCTTCGGCGGAGGAGGCTGGGGCGGCGCACCGCAAGGTGGCTATGGAGGTGGCTACGGCGGTGCCCCCGCTGGTGGCTATGCACCCCCCTCTGGAGGAGCCTACGGTGGTGGTGGCGGCGGCGGCGGCGGAGGTGGTTATGGTGGAGGCTACGGTAACCCATCCGGCCCCGGCGGCAACTCCTGGTGGTAGTTCCACCACATCGACTCCACGAAGCCGTCAGCACAGGACTGTTGCACAGTCTAGCGCTTCGTGGCATGTCTCACGACGGCTCGGTTCCTTTCTCACTTTTTCATGTTTATTGCGATCCTTCCACGGTTACTGCGGAACGAAACGGATTCCGGAATCTCATACCCCAATCAGCATATAGACAGCGACTGTTTCTTTGCGGATCTGCCTATTTTCGAGCTCTGCTGCACACGATACCCATTCGACGATTATGTCGAGCTCGGACATGGACTGCAGGACACGCGCCTTCAAGAAGAAGGCATGCATTACGAACATTTTACGCATCCGCCTTTATGCTAAGCATGCTGCTTGGGGAGCCATAGATCTCGTTTTCCGCGTCCTCCTGCGGACGACCTGCATCATTTCATTTTACAACAAAAAGCGATTCCTTTCCCTGCTATGACGCTCGACGACAATGACTTTCCTCGTCGTCTCCCTTGTCACTGGACTCTTTGCGCAACCATGCGCAGCGACTCTATTCGGGAGGGCGGAAAAGTTTGCATATGCTCACACATAGATGGCGTTCATGAGGGTTGCCTGCCCTTTTCTACTGGCCCTTGTCTACTGATGACGAGGGTCTTGCGAAGGAAATACCCCGGTTCTTATGGTGACCATCATGGTGGCGTCAGGGCCCGCTCAGCAGTGAGCTCGAGGCTCAATTCGTGCACATGCATCCACGACTTGGGCAAGGAATCACACAAAAGCACAGTTTGGAGCAGACGACTAGCTAGATAGACTCCCGTGGGCCGACACTGTTCGGCGCGCGAAATGTATGCGTTTCTGCAAGCATATCTTCTTGCGTGATGTGCATGCCTGTACAGTGATACGCTGAGATTCCAAGAGCACATGTGAAGACGGAGATGCTAAGGCGGCCAAAACATAGTCCGGGCCGCAGGTTCGTGATGCTCCCGAACGGCGCAGCTCTTTATTTCAAGGGACGATTAGCGCCGAAGCTTGGGCTCAAGAGCTGCTTCCCCATCCATGGTCGCATGCTTGACGCACCACCCATCGTCAATCGCAGCTTCATTGTCTTCATCGTCGATGCGGGCAGCGACGTGACGTGACGCCATCATCGCCTGCACCTGCACCTGCGCCTGCGCCAGGGCTCGCATCCTCCGCATCCGTTTCCGAAACATTCCAGGTGGTACCACCGTGATACGGCGCGCAACAACCATCGCACGTCGCAGAGAGCCATGGACGACACTGCTGCCGCTGCCGCCGCCGCCGCCTCCGTCTCGACCGCACGCGCCGACGAGCCGGATTCGAGAAACAGCCTGCGACACATCCTGGCTGCCGAACCCGCCATGGACGACGCGCGACCGTCTCCCTCACCGGGCGACACGCCTGCGCCCGACGACAGCGAGAATGCAGATGCGCCCGACGGCTCCAAGACAGCCGGCGACAGCGATGGGGCGCGCCCCTACTACACATCGACCACGACAACGACGCGCCGCAATGCGAATGGCAGCGTGTCGTCGGTATACAGCGGCAACAAGATCAAGCACCTCAAAAAGGACGATGGCATCCCGCTGTGGCGCAAGGACATCCAGTACGACTTCCTCAAGCTCGTGTTTGAGGACGACAAGACCGTCTTCACCAAGCAGTCGGACCCGCAGGCCGGGCCCATGCACACGTTTGCCGACATCTACCTCGATGCCATGGCCAAGAGCAGCAAGTGCAGCAAGATCCTCAAGGACAAGCTGCTGACGGAGCGCCCTGCCGCCGTCAACATGGCCATGGTGTGTCTGCTGGTCAACGTGGGCCGCATGAACACGACGCTCAACTGTGAGTAGCCCCCCGCGCGATGCTCCTGGCCGTCTAGCTGATGTAGTCATGCAGTCTTCCCCGAAATGCGCGCCCAGCTGCGGACCTACCACTCGATCCCCTCGCTGCAGGCCCACCAGGACCCCAACGCTTACAAGCAGCTGCAGGACGCCCCGCGCCTGAAGTCGATCCTCAAGGGCGCCACGGAGGATCAGGAGCAGCCCAGCACTGTCGACGAGATCATGCAGGCTCCCATACCACGCACGAACCCCGTCAACCTCATCTTCGTCCTTTCTCAATATGCGCCCAAGATCTCCGAGCTGCACTTCTTCCCTCCCCGCGACTTCTTCGACCTTGTCATGCGCTCCAATCTCAGCAGCAGGAGCCGCGCGACTGCCTTCCTGTGGCTCATGTGGTGGTATCTGGAGAGCGACTTCACCAAAGATGCTGCCGAGCGCAATCCCTTTGGACCGGGACAGTTTGGCCCTGCGGACGACCCTATCACGGCCGAGAATCCGCTCAAGTGCCCACCCTTTGACTTTCTGACCCCCGAACAGGAGGCCGAAGAGAATGTCGATACCCCAGACGAGAAGGTGTTTGGTGAGATTAAGCGCAAGGAGAGGATAGCAATTCTGGCGAGCGACATGGCCCCAGTGGTGACGGGGCCGAAGCGCACAAACAAGAAGAGTGTGTATACCGCGGTATCGAGTGCGTACTATTGAACACGACTAACGCCCCTCTAGACTTCAACCAAAATCCAGTATTCTCCGTGCTTGCCGATGATGGCGCATCCACCCCAGGACGAGACAGGCAGTCGCCTTCTCATGGTATGCTGCATATGCACACCCCCTAGTTGACGTGGGACAAGGCTGACCATGATAGGCTCGGCAAGAGGCCGTGGGAATCTCGCCAAATCCATCATCGAGCGCGACTATCCGTCCGACACTGATCGCACGCGATCAGCGTCTCCGCCTGGCAGCGTGTACAACACAGGGAAAAAGGTTACACCGAACATGCGCATTAACACACTTCTCAATGACGAGGTGCCGGCTTCGTCACCCGCGCCAAAGGGACCCGGCCGCGGCAACTGGGCGCGCAACCGCCTGACAGGCGGCGGGGGAGCTGGCGCAGGCCCTGGCGCACGCAGCTTCAAGAGTCGACTCGATGCTGGTGCATCACAAGATGGCCAGTCACCTTCTACGAGCGCGCCAACGTTCAATGGCCCACATGGCTTCTATCTGCCGCTCAATGGGTCCGATCCTAGCCACAAGCGCACACGGCCCCTCACACAGCACCAACTTGCTGTTGAACAGTACCGCCGGCGCCGCGTCGATGTCATTCTCGACCGCGGAATCCGCGTTGAATACAAGGCTGCTGCGAGGCGGCGGCGAACGACCAACACATTTATGCGCGCTTGGATCCGGTGCAAAGGTATGGCAGATGGCTATGATACGGACGAAGAGAGTCATGCGCAGGCCCAGTATCAGCAAGACATTGAGGTTGGAACGAAGACGCCGCCACCTATGCCTGCGGGGCTTGTCCCGATGGATTTTGGGGGCGAAGTCAACGATCATGGAGAGGAAAGTTACTACAGGGCCAAAATGTTGAGCCGAGCCCTTCGGCGACTGGAGAGATGGGAAGATGGCAGAGTCACCATGAGGGCAAGACCCAAGGGTGCAGTCAGAAACGGCATCGGCGATGTTGGCAGTAGGCCGGTGGCAGATGACGAGGACGATGAAGACGACGATGACATGCAAGATGTGGATGACTTGAGGCGAGAGGAGGAGAGCGAGAGCAGCGAAGAGGAGGATATGGAAAGGACATACGACGCGCACACGTTGCCTCCTTTGCCCAGGATGCATTGATCTGGCGTTGGGGTGGATTGACGTCAGGACAGGTATCGGACTTGTACACTATTAAGTAACATGGCCTTTCTCAAGTGCACGAGGAATGTGCAAGATCTTGGTCAATTAGGCTGCACAGACTGTACTCATCAGCAGACTGGGTATCATGGACCGTCCCTCGGTCTCGTGACTAATGGGCAAGAGGAAGATGCTATGCTAAGGGCTCTGCAATGCCAAGTTTCACAACTTCCACTTCCCAAGAATCCAGATCCACCAAGACCACTTGCTTTCTTTTGCTGAACCTAGGTACACTAACAACGAGAACCTTTTGTCCCGCGGGTCCCTCAATGATCCGCTTCCCGAATTTCTTCTGACAGCCCACGAAATACAAGTGCGGACACTCCTTGACTAGGAATGGATCGTCGTCTTGGAATGGGTAGCACCACAGGGTATCTGGTGCCGTGGGAGCTATACAACGCCATCGCAGCATCATCTCCATGATCTGCACTGTTTTGACCTTCTCGACGTACTTGAACAAGTCGGCGACGTTTTGCCCGCTAGTGCCCAGAATACGGTAGCCTTCAACATCGCCCTCCCAGGGATTGGTTACCATGTCCAGGCCGTGCAGTGTGTCAAGACCGCTCGCGGGTGGTTCAGCATAATGCCGTGAGCGAGGAAACAGGGCAGGATGAAGGGGCTGCTGAGGTAGAGCGACATTGGAGGGATCGGATGCGCCGGGGAGCAGGGTGATGGGTATGGACGGTAGAATTTGGGTAAGAAAGATGTCGAGACGCCCGGTAGGTATGGGGTCGTAGGTGGAGGCATCGTAACCATAGTGTTTTGATGCAGCCTTTTTGGCAGCGAACTCGTCGCGCGAGAGAATGGGCGAGGCGCGGCGCAGTGAGTCGCCCGCGATGATCAGTCTGGTGATGTTGGCGGCTTTGTCTTGGTCGAGCGGACCGGATGCTTGGCCCGTCAGAAACTCGACGAGCAGCTGCAGGGAAAGGTTCTCGGGGTCGTCGCCCGTGAGATCCAAGCCCGACACGATGGCAATCTTGCCGGGCTTTTCTCTCTTGGGGGTGGGCTCTTTGGTGTGCGCGAGGGTTGCGTCTTGGCGCTCCCAGCGCTGGGGCTGGCGTGGCAGGTCGACGAACTGCGTGGCAATGACTTGGAAGGTGCCGTCTGCCTGTTCAGTGCCAAGTGCTGCGAGAACACATCCCGTGACGAAGTGGGCGCGCAGCGGATCGCCTGTGACGCGCAGACGACCAGACTCGTCCTCGAGCATCATGTCGGCGGGCTTGGCGGGCTCGAGGTAGGTGGTGCGCTTTGGGGGCGCGGCGATCCAATGCTCTTTGGTAATGTCGTCAAGGACGTTGGGCTTCATGGCCAGGTCCATGAAGACGGTGCCCACGACCCAGCAGAGCTCGCTCTGGCGCACATCGAGGACGCGCTCGACGAACTGGGCTTTGGCGCCACCCAGCTTGGGGCCATCAGTGCGGGCTCAATGGGCGGTGGTTGTGCGGTGATGCTGTGCGTACCTCGAAGTCGTGCCATGCGTCCTGTGCCCGCGCCTTGACCTGCGCCTTGAGGTGGGCCAGGCGCAGGAAGTACATGTCGGCAAACTGCTGTGCATAGTGTCGGTCGGCGCCCTTGGGCAGGTCGAACGTGTGCAGCGGATGGTAGTCGGAGGCGCCGCGCAGAGGCGCATAGTGCTGCAGGTCCGGCAGCTCACGCAGCATGTCGCCATCCGTGCCGTCTGTATCGGGCATGGCTGAATGAGGAGAGAGGGAGGGAGCGAGGAAGGCAGGGAGGGGAGAGCCGTGATGTTGCAACACTACATATGTTCGATTCGCCTGTCGAGTCGCGTCGCGTCGCGTCTAGGGTCACGTGGGGCCAACCGAAAGAGGATATGTAAGAGGTGCGACCGTGCGGCGCTAGATGGTGGACACAACTTTCTTCGGACAACAGGGCCATGACATGTGCGAACAATGTTGGTTGGCTGGCTGGCTGTGTGGACGCACATCTCACATGATTCTTCACACACAACGTGCAGTCAAGTTTGGGGTGCTTTCATGTAGCCCGCAGGCAGTTCTATTCTCACATTACTGGTCGGTTTCACACCGTCTATGTCTAGTCTAGCGGCCGTGTGGTATTACAAAATGGTATAAACGCGATATTGGGCATTGGCAGTAGGCAGTGACTTGCACCTAGAGCATCTGGCACATGGTTAGTCGTCGCAACATGCACAGCTCAAGTGCTGGAACTCACCAGGGCAACGCCGCCAGCAACGACGAGTCCGAGTGCTGAGCCGGCCACGTTGGTGGGCATGGCGGCCGCTCCGGTGAAGGGAAGCTGCGAGGTGGGCTTGGAGGGCGCAGCAGTGCCTGTGGGCTTCATGGAGCCAGTGCCAGTAGGGAAGTAGGCATCTGTTGTACCGTTGACTGGCGCATAGGCGGCCGACGCGGTGGCGGCGAGAGCAGCAACAAGGGAAACGAAGGAGAACTGCATCGTGATGGTCTGCGTTGAAGGACTTGAGCGAAAGACGGCGGGCGAAAAACTGAGAGTGACTGAATGGACGCGAACAGCAGAGTTGAGCAGATGCAGTTTGGAATCAGCACCGGGCGCACTGCAACATGCCTTATATGCGTGCGCCCGGGACCGTCCGCCAGCACCTGTTGCTCATCAGCCTCCTCTGTGCGTGCAAACTTACCCACGAAGTGACGACGCAAGCGATCCACAGCCCAGCCCAGCCCAGCCCAGCACCCACCAGCACCCACGCACGCCAATCTGCCCCTTGCAGGCCCCAAGAATAGCCGCCCCCAGCCACGCCGTTGCCACTCCCAGGATATGCACGTTGCAACCACCGATTTGCGCCCCCTTAGCACCACCTCGGGAGGCATCATCGCATCTGACGTCTGACATGAGATAGCTTCCCGCTCCCGCTATCGATACACGTCCGGCATCATTTCGGCAGTGCTCCACTTTCTGCCTGCTCATATCCGTCGACGCGTGGACTGTGGAAGCACTGCTCCGCTGCCGTACGCTTGTGGGCCCGCAAATCTTGCTGTTCACTGTTTCTAATTGCAGCTCCTCAGCCAATACTCGGTTGCGACCGTTTCCGAACAGTCTGTTGTTTCATCAAGACCGCAACGAGAGGAAAGGAGACGACCACCTGAGACTGCACGTGAACGCAATGTACTGGATTTCGATCCTGCTTCTACACACCGCAACGAGACCCACGACCTAGCTCGACATGGCGCGATGCAGCCACTGCATCGCAATACCTAGCCTTCGCCATTTATGAATCGAATATCGCCCCATATGCTGGGATCCCTCTACTCTCCATGTCATATACAATCGTCGTCGTGAACTTCTTGTTGCTTATCACACACACTGCTTCAGCCCCGCTTTCCTTCCACAACTTGTACGCCAGTAGCGACATGTCTGGCTTCCCCTGTGTCCTGGTATTCCAGATGATTGCCTGTGGATCCGTAGCTCGTACGCTATCAACAATCTCCATACCAAAGGTCTGTTCTGGGTTGGGAGCCGTCCACAAGATACGGCACGGTACTTTCCGAGCTAGAATGACAGCAAGACAGGGCCCAATTCCAGACCCTGTTGCAACAAGGACCACTGACTTGAACAATGTTGCAATACGTAGGACACCGCATGCTGGAATGCCACGGACGTATACATGTGACGGTGCGCGCTCAATCGTCCGACCAGTGAAATCACCCGCGCGGCTCACAATGAGCGAGAAGCCTTTGCCGTTGGGGTTGGTGATTGTCGCAAAGCCATGCCTAAGTATGAGTCATCAGTTGAGAACGAGCCAAGTCACAGACAGCAGTACGCTTTGACGCCAGCAACGGTGTTGCATGACTGCGGTACGAGGGAAAACAAGAAACGGACGGGCTAGCATGTTACTTACCAGTCGACCAAAGGACGCTCCGCGAGTCTCACCGAGGTTCCCACAACAGGTGTGGTATAGTCGAACCAGAGCCGTACAGCATGGTGGGACAGAACTTCGGACCGAACAGGCACCTTACGTAGGAAGAGCCATGGGAATATGACGGCTGCCGTGGCGACTGCGAGAAGCCAAATTGACGGTGAACTTGCATAGGCGACTGATGGTGCCACTGTCGGATTGAGATCCTTGGTCGCAAGTGCAGTCAACGCCCACAGGAGAATCAGGCATGTCCAACCACCGAAGCGATGAATCGCCTCCCAGGCATTGTGATACTTTGCGCGGAAAGCTGGATGAGAGGTCAAGCCAATGAGGACCAAAATGACAAGGCCAAGGTATGACAGAACAATCGGAGCCAGGGATATGCGACGCAGTGGCGCGGCCTTTCCTAGCTCTAAAGTACCGGCTATAGTGAATGCACAATGCCACATAATGGCTGCGATTGCGCAGCCGCTGTGTATTCCACCAATGTGAAATATTCTGGCACAGTGGCGTCGAATAGCGAGAGGAAAGCAAGTCTAAAATGTTAATATGAGCGGTTAGCTTTTAGACTGCAACCGGCTTGAGCGAAGACTTCACATACCGGGACAGAGCAGAAGGTTGTGAACAGCAAATTGATGACCGGCTCCCACCGAATCAGGACAGCTACGACTAGGTTACTGGCCGTAGCTGTCGCGAGGGCTGGCAGAACCTTCTTTTGTTGTCTTGCTTCGCGGTACAGGATGATAGAAGCAACTGACACATTGCTGAGTACGACGACCGAAAAGAATCGTCGATACAGGATAAATGCGCGATGCCGAAGCCATCGAAGACCACGGGGGCCATATATTGGGGGCAGTATGTCGATAACTTTGTCGACACTTTCCCGATCAGAAATGCCCTCGAGCTCAGATGCTTGACTTGTGACGAAGATTTTGCCCTTTTCTGTATCCTGCGAGTGTTCTCGGGTGTTTGTTTCAGATGGCCGGATTTCCAGAGCTGCTTCAATCGAAGCGTACTTTCAATTCTCCTTGCGAGGCGTCGGTATCAGAATCAGGCCTACTCCGTTGCAACGACGTTGTTTCACTCAGCTGTTTGCGATCGACCTTGCCGTTGGCTGTAAGTGGAATTGAACCAACGTGCATCCATTTCTCCGGTACAGAATAGTAGGGAAGGTGCTTTCGCACAAAAGCTTCCAAAGCTGGCTCATCTACCGAGATTTCATCATCGTTCGCATAGAATCCGCATAGCACACCCTCGATGAGCATGGCGGTTCCTCGTCTTATCCCAGGGAATTTCTATTCACTTAGTACGTCTGTAATACATGAAATCGAGCAGAATCTTACCTCGATGACTTGAGTGACTCCATCAAGCTCGACACGGAAGCCCTGCTTAACGTTAAGACCCAGAACTATTGACCGTGTGAAGGAGTTTACCTTGATTTTGACTTGGTCATCCTTTCGACCAAGCATGTCCAGGGAGCCATCAACTCTCCAACGTGCAATGTCGCCTGTGTTGAACATCATAGACCTACATGGCATCAACGTCAAGTACCCTACAAGCATAAAAAGACGTATCTCACCCATCATCCATGAACTTGTCGGCTTGTAACGATGCGACGTGAGTGTAGACAAGTTAATGTAACCTCGTGAAACCCCAGCACCACCCACCCACATTGTACCTTTCTGTCCCATTCGCACAGGCTGCTCATCATCGTCAAGTATATAGCATGTCGTGTTAGGAATGGGCTTCCCTATGGTCAATGGTTGCCCAGGAGTGTGTCGATGTGCTGTGTTCAGTATGGTAATCTCTGTAGGACCGCAGATGTTTATGAAACAAAGAGAGTTCTCTGCCCATTCGTCCGCAAGGCTAGTTGAGAATCAGTGCCGCAATACGATGATTTCCATAATATAGACTTACCTCTGAGGGCATATTTCGCCTCCAGTTGCAATGTGCTTGATTCCAGGGTATGAGCGTCGGCGATATTTGCACAAAATCGATGGTGTTGTAATCAGAGTATCGACCTTCAGGACAGTCAGCTACTCCTATCGAAGACTGTAACAGTATCGCTAGTCTACCTCGCTCAGGGTACTGGTCCAATCGGATCCGCGCATGTACAATGTACCTCCGTTCATAAGGCACCCCAGTATCTCCCATGCCCCTATGAGTTGAGTGAGCTAAGGCCTTCTAGATGGGCATTCCAACTTACCCATATCGAATGCAATGTTGAGGACTTGAGCCACCTTTGATCCAACCGTAATCCCCAGTCGTGCTGGCTCCAAAAGTAGAGCATTCGTGACATTACCGTGTGAGACATTGACTCCTTTGGGTTTTCCTGTACTTCCTACGATAACAGTAAGCAATTATTGGTCTGAATGAATAAAATGTGAAGGGTGTGTGCGCTGAAGGATACATGTAGTGGCCTGGCACTTACCCGAAGTGTAGATAGCGTACGCAGCGTCTCGCGATGACACCTGCACTGTTGGTTTCGTTGCAGGAAAGAAGGCGCCAATGTCCATAGTCAGGGCGAACATGACAGCGTCTTTTCGAGCAAAACGCCGGATCTTATCCCAGAATTGCGGAAGGCAGAGGATGAAACGTGCTTCGGAGTCGTTGAAAATATGCATAAAGGCCTGCTCTGAGGTTACTCCCCCATCGATTGGCACATATTGGCACCCGGCCTTGAGGATTGCAAATATTCCAACCAGCATCTCAAATGACCGCCGAACGACAAGACAAACACGCTCGCCCGGTTTCAGCCCAGAGTGTATCATACAATGGGCAAGCCGATTTGCAGCTACATCTAGCTGGAGGTATGTGAGTGTTTGACCAGCAATTGTAGCGGCAATGACCGTGGGGTGAGTCTTGACGATACCCTCAAATGCCTCGTGTATCGACTTGTAGGGCACTGGAATGATCTGTCCACGACCAAGGCGTGACACTATAGTTCGTTCTTCTTGAGGAAGACATGACATTGCATGGAAGCAACTTTCAGGATTCATGTCGAGGCTCCGCGGTAGGTGATGGAAATCTAGGTTCGATGACAAACTGTGTACTGATGTGTATCAGGCAGGAAAGCAACTCTTTTTATAATAACTCAGGGCTTGGTACAGATCCGCTCTCGAGTAGTCAAAAGGAACCTCGATGCTTGGACACTGCCCACAGTCTTATCGGATCGACAAATCATTGACACACAAGCAAGGTATCCAGCCTCCAGGAACCGTCTATCAACTTTAGCCGACTGATGTGTTGAGCCCCAGGAAACATTATGGCACAGATTGCCAAAGCATCATGCATGGTCAGTGGCTCATGGAGCCTTCCGGGCATCAATACCCACATTCAGATCATATGCAGCAGTATGTCGGCCAAGTGTTAGAATAGCTGCAAACCTCCGCACACTTTGACTAATGCGTACGTAGGAACTAGCAGGGTCTGTGGTCAACCTATTGTGAAGCCAAGGTGGGGTTGGCTCGTACTAGCAGCCCGTGATAAACCTCTGATCATATGTAGATGATAGTTAGTGACAGATCACAGGCTACAAGCAGACCTCGGCGGATGAACACTGCACCCGTCTCAATTCAGGATTTCGTCACACCTTGAATGCACTTTGACCGGACGAGGCCTGGAAGAAGCAGAACAACCATCAAGGCTTACAGTACATTTCCAACTTTCTTACGGGATTGTGAGCAGCCCAAGCCTCCATTCCGGTCGACATATTGCGAAGCTCGTATGGAGCCTGGAGCATCAAGGGCAGACGCATCGCGCATAATGCAGAGGGCGCTTATGGAAAGACATTGGTTGGTGGACGGACAACTTGCTCTTACGATGAGTAAAACCGTGCTATTACGCTTCGGAGTCAACATGCATGCATGGTATATGCAAGGGGGCTATGTCGTGGACAGGGCGATGTGCTGGCAAGGATCAGCAGGCATGCCCCAATGTTTTTTCATGCCCGCCTATAGATTTGCAGGTTTGCAGGCTCGCAGATGGCGTCAGTTAGCTGCACTCTGCCAGCATGTACACAAGATGCCAGTACAGTAATGACAGTAAAAAGAGAACAAGTCTGATTTTGCTATACAGAGATGAAACGTACATGTAGCGTGTTTTTACCTGGTCCATAGGATCGTGCGGTGCTCAAGAGGTTTAGGAAAGTGCCGTAAAAAGAAAGTTAGCGCACATGTGGCCCGGCCACATACCTGCAAGATCGATGTCGTGTATGGCGAACGTGTGGAGTGCGTGGGAGTACCCGGGCTGTCAGTTGCGCGGATCGGTATTGAACACACCGCATCTTTGGGCCCTTTCTTGGTTTACTCGGTCGCCCGGGGCATGCCGTCCTTGGAAGGTCCAAGGTTGCGCTAACACCATGCGAGATGCTCTGCATAACGTCAGTCACGCGGCGCAAGTTGAGCGCAATAGTACGTTGCACGCCACTTATAAAGCAGTTGCGCAATTTTTGCCAGACTCGTGCATGAGGCCAGCACCACAATCCTGAGCCGGACATTCACCGCCAGCGTAGTACAAGCGCCTTCCGTCCAGCCAAACTGAGTCAATCTCTGATTGACGGAACAAGAGACAGGGAATGGACCAGGAAATGCCGGAATCACCGAGCCTGATCGTCTCCATCAAACCCAATGGTGTGGCCATACTGGAGTTGAACAGACCAAGCAAACGGAACGCATTGTCACAGGCTTTGATTGATGAACTTACAGGGGCGTTAGGCCAGCTTGACCGCAGTCCGACAACGTTTGTCGTTATTCTGACCAGCTCCGGGCCGTTCAGTGGTACCTGCAACCCCCATCCTCGTAAAAAGCTTTGAGGCTAATGCAAGCAATAGCCGGGGCAGATCTAAGTGAGATGGCAACGCTTACAACGGCGGAAGCGTACGTACAGCATAGGCCAGTCCTGCAACTTCGGAGCCATCGTTGATTTGGATCATGTACTATGCAGAACACGCATCGGATGGCTCAAAGACTTGGACGAGGCCATGTCCAGCTTCCGGAAGCCAGTGCTAGCGGCGGTGAGAGGTTTTGCAGTGAGCCATGTTCGCAGTGTGCTTTGGTCCAGTCAAACTGACGACAGTTGCAGTATGGCGGCGGTTTCGAGCTTGCACTGATGGTGAGGCGACTCCATTCCCCTAGGCCTGGAACCTATCATAGGCCTGTGGCTCAGACAGTAGCCATTGTTCCCGCTTCTCTCGTGAGCTGCAGCTGACTGTCGCACATACAGTGCGATATGATATTTGCATCGGCGGATGCTCGATTTGGCTTTCCAGAAGTCACATTGGGGACGATTCCCGGGGCTGGTGGAACGCAAAGGTGCGAGGAACGAAGCCATCTTTTCGCCGAGGTTACTGACTTTGGGTAGGCTCACCAAAACCGTTGGCAAGCAGAAGGTGTGTGTGTACCCCGCCCGTATCTCAGATGATCTTGGCCCGAAATCTGTCACTTCGGATGAGCTGTTCTCGTGTTAACTGGTCAGGCCATGGAACTTATATTAACCGGAGTGCCTGCCACGGCCGCCGAGATGGAGCGTCTTGGTGTTGTGAACAGAGTTGTCCAGGGCGATGGAGACATTCTAATGGATGTGACCATGAAAACGGCACAGACTATAGCATCTTTCTCAGCACCAGCGATTGGGCTAGCGAAACAAGCTGTCCTAGCAGGTGAGTCCTCTTGCGCCATGTCTGTAGTAGCAACTGGGCTGACGCAAAGAAGCCGAGACGACAACCTTGAGAGCCGGGTTGGAGATTGAGCGTGCATTGTACTACAGCAGCTTCTCGCTTGCTGATTGCCGGGACGGGATCTTGGCGTTCAAGGATAAGCGCAAGGCATGTGTTCAGCATCGTTGAGCGTGGGATGCGATGGTTTCTCGGAGTCTGTATACTCTTTCGTCATCCTTTCGGTCCTTCTCTGCGCACTACCCGCAGCATGCTTTTTTCCCCAATATCGAAAATCAATGTTCGACTGCTTTACCGACGCAAGCACAGACACGAGCTCTTTCCCCAGAAATATGGCACAGTGTTTGGAGAACGGAACATCTTGCGCGCTTCGTGTAGTTCGATGACTGATTTTACGGCGACGAGTGGGTAAAGGTGACATGTGTGCGATGGGAATGCTACGGGGACGTGATCCGGTTAAAGCTTCGGGGCCAGGGGAGTGCGCCAGATTTTAAGCACGACTGCCGGAGTCCAGACCTCCGCCTTTGGTCATCGTGCTACTACGCAATCATGCATTCGTCGATCTCCAAGCATAATCTCAAACCTTGAGTAGCGTAGGGTACCTCTTTAGTGACGGCGGCCAATCAATAGAATACTGCCTCTGCATCTTTTAAGCATCAGTAGAACTCGATCGATGATCCAAGCCAATCGCGCTAACCGTGGTATATTAATGAATTATAAACACTCGAAGCATATCATCAAGAAACCAATATCACAGTTGTTCAGACCTCGTGCGCCTTTTGCCTGATATCTTTTGTCTCGATTCTGCCAATGCCCTGAAACATGTCATGGCGATCAATGAGACTGTTCACCGTTGTGGCGCCGCAAAGGCCATTGGCCTCTGTACTACCCTCGCTACTCATAGTCTGCGTTTGAACGAGCGCATTCTTGTCCAAAGATAAGCGATTTGATGTAGCACTGGACGCAAGAACTCCGTCTTCAGCAATTGTCTCCATGTTCGTCCCCTCGTCCAGCGATAAATTTCGCATTCTCGTGTCCAGATCAAGTGCAGGTGCGTCTGGTATCGCACTGAGTGATTTTGAACGCACTGGTTCTAGAGCATTTGAGTCTTCAGATATGCGTTGAGGTGCCCCAGCTTCTGTCTCCGACAGGGAGCGTTGTGGGTCGACGCCGCTTGCGTCTGGAACACTGTGCGAACGTTGCCGATCCTGTTTGTGGCTCTTGGACCACGACTTGAACTTGAAAGCCGAAAGCCAGCCAGGGCGCTTCTCTTTCCCTGCGTTTGGGTTCAAAGCACGTTCGGCAGAGAGCTGTAAATGCGTTTTCTCGGTTATTTTGGGTTGGGCTGTCACAGGTGTTGGTGTCTCCACTGGAGCTGTACGGATATCGTAATCAGACTTGCGTCGGGCACCAGCAGCTGCGGTGGAGGGAACGGCAAGGTTGTAGCTAGCACGACGCTTTGCAAGACTAGTCTCCTTGAGTTCTTCGTGTATGTACTGGAGGGCGGCGTCGACAACCTCGACATACTCTGGATAGTCAATTTCACAGGCCTCCCGGATGAGGCGCAACTTTTCCCAGTCCTGTTGCACAACAGGCCCTGTCAGGTCGGGGTGCCAGGCCATGCACCTAATGTCGGAACGCGTTCCGCGGTCGACCTGTTCTTTGACGCCCATGAGCTCGACGAGAGCATCCACCTCTAAGCGCACGGTCTTGACAAATTCGTTGAAGCGATCGCAATTCTTGACGGTCCAGTGGTTGGTGGTCATACTCATGTTACGCTTGATGCTCGCCCTTGCGCCGGTTTGTCGGACGAGGTCTTGCAACAAGGCGTACTTTTCTCGAAAACCCTCCAGTCGGTTGGTGTCCAGAGCAGGATATTCAAGCCTCGAAAAGTGTTTGGGGCTCTTCAATCCGTACTTTTCCATCAACTCATCTCGTGACAGATTCCCGGGACGGCCTGAGATTTCGTTGAGCGCGTTACGTATCTTGTCGTTGGTCTCCTCATCATCGAGTCTGGAATCTCGCACACTGAAATTTACGGGCAGATGCGGGTCAGGGTTGGTTAGGCCAGGGTGGGATGGGACCATATGCCTTGCAATTGTTGCTGGCGGGGCTGATATACCGACGGCATCGCCAAAGATGAGCAGCCGGCCCTGTTGGAGGCCAAGCTTAGCGAGGGCCACCTTTTGGGCATGGTCGTTGTCTTTGGACGGATGGATCAGATTGAAGGCTTCGACACAGGTGCTGAACTGGGTTGCCAGCGAGAAGACGTCGTTGAGAATCTGCGCTTTGCTCTTGGCAGGTGGTGGTGTGGCTTGGACCGAATCGTCAGCCATAGCGGGGTCAGGAAGGTCTTCTCAAGGCGACCGGCGAGCCACAGTCTGCAGTGCGTGGTAATTAGCAGAGGGACAGTCAGAGTGAGGAGCCTGTAAGGCGCCTGTGCTTGACTGGCAAACCTTCAAAATTCGCGCTCGTCCATGGGCGCATGACGTCTGAGTGTGTGTCGCAAAGCATGGATCGTCTCCAGCTGCAGGTGTGGCGCAGACTTTTTCGTAGCGGGGCGAAAGCATGGCCAGTCCTCGACCGCCTCTGCCAACTCCCTGCCTCGCTATTCGCAGAGGCCTTCTGCTGCTAGTCGGGCCTTGTGTGCTGGGGCGCGTCACGTGCGCTGGGCAAGCCACCTGGGCAGCACTCGAGGGGCTCTGCGCGCTGTATGCTATCGGCCCTCTGAGTAGGTAACGCCGCCGCGGGGTTCACCAAGATCTAAGGTCCAAGATCCAAGACCTTCAGGGACCGTATCTACGTATGGATGGTAAGATTGTCGCATGTACTTAATTCCGCCAGTCAGCTAGCAGTATTAGTGTTATGAAAGTTGTATTACCCAGGTACCGTCTGCCTGTGGTGTCTATGGATATCATGAGGCAATGGCTACAAACGAGGAAGAGCCGAGAGGAGCACAGCTTGCGGGAGGCTCTGGCGACGCATATCCGTACACCGCTCTGGTCGCAAGACCTGTGAGCTTCCGGTCGTGACAGGAAAGCCATGGAGAATAGGAAGGTGCCCATGGTCGTGTAGGTAACGATAAGACTACTGCAGGAGGGGCCGGGCGGGAGGTACCGCTGAAGCCAGTCTAGGTCTAGCCGCCCAAATGTGCGTGAGGTTGGAGACCTTTCGCGGTTCAAGAAATAATACACAATATGCACAGGGACTGCGCGCATAAGCGGCAGTTGTGCAAGCTCAAGACTCGAGACCGATTCGTCGACTCAGCATCCTGGTACGAAGCCATCCTCAAAAACGCATGCCCGTGTAGAATAGGCTAATGCTGTCGTCTATCCCTTCCCTGCATACACTGCGATGCGATTTCCGATCACGGGTTGCAAAGCCTCTGAAGACAATTGCGTGTGTCGGTACTTGCACGCACAGCCTTGCGTCACCACATAGGCTATCATCATGGCAACATCCATCGGCGCCTGGCACTTTTCGCCACTGCTTACAGCGTTCCCGGCAGGTGTCCTACCAAACGTTGGCTTTTGGAAGGCGACCAACGGATCATGGGAATACCAAATCCAGCTGGCATGGCCATTGAACTGGACGTCGCAGCAAGAGAGCACGACTGTCGAGACGATGTAAGCGTACTTAGTAGAAGCTTTGGGAGCAACGTGATATAGATGATGACTGATTTTGCTAGGTACGTGCTCGATGGAAATGCGCTGGGCTTGACCGCTGCGGAGGGTGTTCGCCGTCGGAGGCCTGTCGAGTTCAATATGCCTGACAGTATCATTGTCAGTATCGGATATCCTGAGACCATCTCAGATTCGCCCTACAGTGGACAGCGAAGCTCAGATTTCCAACCACCAGTTTGCGATAGTTGCACGCTTCCGGCCACTCCAGGTGTGCCGTCCAACGCCGACAATTTCATCCATTTCATCGACTCGGCTCTACGCCCCTGGGTACACAATAACGCGTTTCCAAACGCTGCATTCAACCGCGATGCTCTATATGGGCACTCTTTTGGTGGCTTATTCGTCCTCTACGCCCTTGTTGCGCGACCTGACTTGTTTGATACATTTCTCTGCGTTTCGCCAGCTCTGTCGTTCAACGATGATTACGTCTTCAAGCACGCCGAGTTCCTGGCACCCCTCAGAGGGACCGAACTGCAGACGTCAAATGCTACGAAGCCGGCATTCCAGATCAGTTATGGCGCGCTCGAGCAGGCTCCAACCAAGCGGAGGACCGAGACCGAAGAGGAGTTCGCGTTCCGGCAAAGCATTCTCGTTCCCATGCGCATGACGAATCTGTCACGAAACTTGTACAGCGAAGTCAAGGACAGTCCAAGGTTGAGGCATGTTGAGCTCCATGAGTATCCCTTCAGTGATCATGCTGCCGTGGGTGCAGCTGCGCTTGTAGATGGGCTCGACTATTTCCTTGACTGGTGACAAGCCGGGATTTCGAGTCTCTGAACATGCATACGACCAGAAGCGAAGAGACGGCAATCTCATGGGAAATGACAGCCTGGAAATGTCTTCTAGGTAGTCATTGAAGACCAGAGTCCCCAGTTAGGTAGCCAGCGCGAATCTTCAATAGAAGCCTTGGAAGCGTCCATACATGCATTCATGCTCTCTTCTGCGACACTACGGCTGTGAGACGTCGTCGACAGAACACGCTCTCTTCATGGTACATGTGGGAGATACATACCGGTAGCGGGACGGGCGGTTCGCAACTTCCCCATGACTCGCTACTCCACCCGAGTGCACCACTTTACCCCCAGAAACCATGACAAGCACCACTCCTCGCACAGTACGTGGTAGTCGGGGCCGATAAGCATAGGCTTGTTGCGTAGATCGTTCACCGCCTGTACCGAAAAGATGGGGATGGGTGGGTTGCTCACTCTCCGGCGAGGTGCCGGCCAGCGACAACATTGGCCGAAAAACTGGCACCAGTGGACCCCTCCCGCAGCGAGAGGCTCAACGGACAACTCTAACCGCTGCGAAAATTTCGCTAGGGTTTCCGATACGTCATAAGACGAATAGACAAGATTGCGATGATGGCGCAGACATATACTTGTAGGCGCGCCCTTGTATCCTTGAGCCCACTTGCCGCTGGACGGATCATCAGCACGACCTGCACTCGCACCAACAACGCCGTCATATAGCACCCGCCCAGCATTCGACCACCATGGCGCACTCGCAAAGACCCAGGATGCAGTCTTCGGGAATTTCGACCTTGAACCTCAACAAGACGGCACGGCCAGGCCTTGAACGTGCTCCTACCTCGACAAATCTCACCAGGCCGCTGCCCATCCATCGGCTCGACGGCAAAGTGGCTTTCATCACGGGCGGTGGTGGAAAAGTTGGTGTTGAAACAGCAGGGCGTCTGCTCATCGAGGGCGCAAATGTAGCTCTAATCGACATCAACCAGCAATCACTCGAAGTAGCGGTGCCTGTGCTCAGGGCTGCAATCCCTACGGGCGTGCCGTTGGAAAGCAGATTGTTGACCATCGCGGCTGATGCCACCAACGAGTCAGACGTCGAGGCGTGTGTAAAGAAGACGGTCCAGCGATTCGGGAGACTGGATTGTGCTCTACTCAACGCAGGGGAGAGGGATGACAGTAAAAGCCTCTTCGACACGACGGCAGAAGACTTCGAGAGCATCATGACCACCAACGCAAGGTCAGGTAGGCTTTACTCTAGTCCACTAGACATGCACAAAACCCATGTTAACATCAGCACAGCTTTTCTTGGCCTAAAACACGTCGCCAAAGTCCTTCGCGACCAGGGCCAGGGCGGCTCTATCATACTAAGATCTAGCATTGCAGGCCTACGAGGCTTCCCTGGCCTCATCTCTTATTCCTCAAGCAAATTTGCACTTCGCGGCATCGCCCTTACAGCAGCTGAAGAACTTGGCGAATTTGATATCCGCGTCAACACGATCCACACTTCCATTATTGATTCTGGTCCTGGTTTCAAGGAGGGATGGACCCAGGAGAGGCTGGACGAGCTGAAAGGAGAGACTGCTCTCGGACGCTTCGGTCGCCCAGATGATGTCGCGAATGTAGTCGCGTTCCTGGCCAGCGAAGACAGCAAGTTTATGACAGGAGGTAAGACTTTTTTTACTTGAACTACATCGCATAGACTGACCACAAACTAGGCCACTTGAAGATAGACGGTGGATGTGTCAGTGTCTAGAGTGTCGAGCCTGTCGCTGGACGACGTTTGGGAGGGATTTTCGTCGCATATTTTGGAGTTCAATGCATCATGAAGGCCGCATCGGATGAACAAGGGCAGGATAGAATTAGAAACGATTTTACGAGTACAACAATTACGGTGCCAGATCGGCTCCCTCTACAAACGCCGGGGAATAAGATATGATATGTGCCTTGGGCAGATAATGTTCCTTTTGTAAACATCATGGGCAAGGTGCAGGCGTGCACAGATCGTCAACGGCTTGGATCATACGTGTGTAGCAATCTGAACGTTAATACATGAGTAGGACTCATTGTGGGCCCGCCACACTGCTGCGACAGTCCCCAACTGCTCTCCACCACTGCCATGCGGATGCCCCATGGGTCTTTGCCTTTGCTGCAGAATAAGCCGGTCCAACCATCAGGCGTTTCATTCCCTCGAATCAAGCATCTTTAGTCCCACATGTAACGGAAGTTTTACGGCCCCGAGTGATTGCCAACTGCCTACACCTCACCTTTGTTCGCCGATGGAGACCGGTCCTTGGGCCTTGGCTGCAACGCTCCGTGCAGACGGGTTGCGAAAGACGGACCAAAAGCTGACGACAAACATTGCAGGCACAACAGAGCGGGCCTTGCGGCATTTCTTGAAGAACCGGAACGTTTGACGGAAGAGGCATGGAAGACGTGTTGAGGCTGCACAGGCCTGGGAAGATTCCACTCTTCTCCACTCGCCGCGTTCATCTTGTTGCAAACCAAGGCTGTCGGCGAGCGATCAAAGTCATGTACTATGTAGAGGGAGTCGTCGAGCTATACTCTACCCCTTATTGATATTTGACGTCCAAGGTCCGCCAATTGCTTACCATACACACCTTGATGGGATCACGTTGACGATTGCTTGGGTCAACGGGATGTGCATCATCGAAAGAAGCTTCGCATGCCCGAGAACACGGTTCGCAACCGAGTTTTGTGCCAAAAGACGATGCGTATTCCTTCCGACGCGTGCAATGTCGGCTGCGGTGCGCTATTGGCTTGTAGCGCGAATAACTTACACCTGTGGACGGATATCGGACAGTAGCGTCTTGGCCCCTCGAATCGCGTTCAGCTTCCCCACAAGCCATCATCTTGGAGAAGCTGTCCGTGTTGCAACGACAAGCCGCTACTGTGTTTTTTGGAAACACAAACGAGGACTGTTGGCTGCAGGCAAGACGCGGCCAAGACTGCACGGTCTCGTCTCCCAGTTTCGCAGTGTCGGCGCGGCGCAAATGACGTACAGGTCAAAGACGAATGCTCGGCGCAACGCTGGGCATTGCAGCATTAGTGAAAGTGGAGCACCATGGCGATGGCACATAAACATAAAGGGAGCTCACAAGAAGTCGGCCACGTTTGGACTCAGCTCTTGCGAGTACCATTTCTTGACACAAACAACTCCTTCAAGATGGGTTTGGGTCAAGTGTATGCAGATGATTGCTGAATTACAGAATGTTCGCTGATGATTTCCAGGGCTATCAAGGTGCGCGGTGCCGAATGCGGTATCGAGGCCATCCTGTTGGGAAGTGTGACTTCCATTGGAGGATTTTTGTTTGGATATGACACAGTAAGCTTTGTGTGCTCTGGTAGCCACATCCTTTCAGGAACTGACAGGATCAGGGACAAATCTCATCCATGTTGATTTTCCCGGACTTCATCAATCGCTTTGGCCAACAACAACCAGATGGAAGTATTGCTTGGGACAGCACGATCCAGTCCCTGGTCGTTTCCACCATGTCTCTCGGAACCCTTGTCGGAGCTCTTGCAGGCTCATACACTGCTGATTGGTGGGGTCGTCGAAAGAGTCTGAGTTTTGGCGTGGCCATCTTCGTCATTGGTAACATCATCCAAATCACCGCCATGTACTCGTGGGTTCATCTCATGATAGGCCGTATTGTGGCCGGTCTCGGTGTGGGCATATTGTCAGTGGGCGTGCCCATGTTCCAATCAGAATGCTGCCCACGCGAGATTCGTGGTGCAGTCGTCGCTTCTTACCAGCTCATGATCACCATCGGCATTCTAGTCAGCAACGGCATCAACTATGGCGTACGCGACAGTCCAGGTGACGACACGGACGCTTCCTGGCGGATCGTCATTGGCATGGGTATCGCTTTCTCTTTGCCCTTGGGAGCTGGCATTCTTGTCGTACCAGAATCACCCAGATGGCTTGCTGGACGCGGCCGTTGGGAGGACGCACGGATGGCTCTTGCTCGACTACGCGGCCGGAAAGCGGACCCCAATCATGAGCTTGTCAACGACGATTTCAACGAGATGAAAGCAACCATCGAGGAACAAAATAAAGCTGGTCGAGGCACTTGGAAGGAATGCTTCACTGGTCAGCCCTCCGGCATACCGCGACTCGTGTACCGTACACTCCTCGGCTGCGCCCTGCAATTCTTTCAGCAATGGACTGGCGTCAACTACTTCTTCTACGTTAGTTTGGCGATCCTACGAATGTGACAGAACACCGCTAACTTTCTTTTAGTATGGCGCCACAGTCTTCAATGCTGCTGGTATCGAGGACCCAATCCAGACGCAACTAATCCTTGGTGCAGTCAATGTGGCCATGACTATCCCTGGCCTCTACTTGATCGAGCGACTCGGTCGGCGACTTCCACTCATCGTTGGTGGTCTTTGGCAAGCGGTATGGCTTCTTGTATTTGCCGTTATCGGGATTGTACGGCCTCCGGGTGAGAATCCATCTTCTGGAGTGGTCATGATTGTCAGCGCATGCATGTTCATCGCTTCGTTTGCCTGCACGTGGGGACCATTTGTTTGGGTTGGTAAGTGATTGAAGGTGTCAACTCTTGAACCAGGAAACTAACTTAACCATAGTCATTGGGGAAATATTTCCGCTTCGTGTGCGTGCGAAGCAGGCGTCTCTTGCAACTGCTTTCAACTGGCTTGGTAGGTCGTTTCTACCAGCTCATCAGAAAAGCACTAACTTTCCAAGGCAACTTCCTCCTCGCTTTCCTCACTCCCTACGCTAATGAAGGCATCGGCTATTCGTTTGGCTTTGTGTTCTTCGCATGCAACTTCATCGCAGCTGGTATTGTCTACTTCTTCGTCTTCGAATCTAGAGCGTTGTCTCTAGAATCCGTGGACATGATGTACTCTGACGGTAGCATCAAACCGAGGGCTAGCAAGAAATGGGTGCCGCCGGGCTATATCAATCGCCTGGAACGAGATGAGACATATTGGCATCGTCCCAGTCAAATGGAGAACACGCAACCCTCCAACTTGCCTGCAAACTCGATGGATGAGAAGCACTATGACAAAGATGACACTTCACCAGAACGCGGCATGTCTGTGCATCGTGAGCACGCTGCTAGCGATGTGAGGATGTAGTCACTCTGTCATTGTGCTAGTTGGAGGTGATCTCCGATGACGTGTTCCACAAATGAAACCCGTCTATACTGCTACAGATTTGGAGCTTTTTTGTCGTTGGTATTTGTTGCGAACGGTAGATATGAAATGCAGCGCTTTGCGATCCTGATTGGCTATGATGTGAAGCTGCGTTCTGAAAACCTGCCGGCACAGCCGCAAAACCTTATGTTTTACTAAGTTTAGCGTGACGTGGCGCATGCGTTGCCCCAGGGCAACGCGTCAGCTGGCTCACCCTTCACTTATACAGAGCAACGTTGAAGCCACAACTCACTGTCATTCATAGATTTCAGACCTGTGACCATCGTTAATTGTTTCTCTTCCTTAAAGCATGCCACCAGCAATCCTGCCACCCGCGCGAGCGACAGTAGGCAAGCTAGCGCGCCGAGTACTCGTTACCACAGCGCCAGCGCTCGCCTCCAATCACTTAGAGCGCCGTAATCTCAGTGTTAACCATACGCAAGGTGTCACTTTGGGTGTCATCTGCGCATATGTTGTCGTGATTGCTTTGCTATGGAATCTGCCGTACGTGCACGTTGCAAGCCATCATCGAGCATCTTCCTAACTCTGGCAGATACGTCCGCTGGGTGCTGTGGCCCTTCAAGGTACGAGGCTTGCCCTTCAATGATACAAGACCTCATGAGCCAACCGAAATTCTCACAGATGCTTGTGATTGCTTTCCATGAATTCGGTCACGCGATCACGGCGTGTTGCACTGGCGGCCGCGTTGAATCGATATCTCTTGATCCGCATGAAGGCGGTGTGGTAAGAACCAAGCCTATCATATGGTAACATACATAGCTAACGTTCGCCCTTGACCCACATGCGTGGAGGAAAGCAGTTCATTACCCTGCCTGCAGGATATCTCGGGTCCAGCCTAATGCGGAGGCGTTGCATTATCTTTTGCGGCTTCAACTATAGTTGCGAGTAAAGTCGCAAGTATTGTCCTGGGGGTCTGCTTTCTGCTTACATTGTGGTGGGCTAGAAAGGACTGGCTAACAATCGTGACAATTCTCATGGCTGTTGGCTTATTGATCGCTTTCTGGTTCATAAAGCATGGCGAAGCTCTGCGATTCATGGTCGTCTGTCTCGCGAGTTCTAACTACCTGTAAATCAATACTGACGGAGTGATAGCTCTTCATTGGTGTCATGTCATCCTTGTACAGCGTCTGGGATATATGTGATGATTGGTAAGCAACAACTCTAGATAATTCTTGTAATGCCAGTTTGCTGACTTCTGTGCAGTAAGTTGAACCTCGACCCCGATCTGAGTAATCCCCTTCAGACAGCAACGCAGCTTAAAGTACTGCTATAAGTGCAATCTTGTCTGAAATTTTTGGGTTATAACGTCTGCTAACTTGGGCTTCTTCCTAATCAGTGGTACTGCGGAAGGTCAATTCATCTGACGCGAGTGTTTTTGCCAAACGCTACGGTGGCTCTTCACAGTGTTGGGGTGTTCTTTGGTCACTCATATCTTTGGTCTTTATGGTTGCTGGGATTCTAGCCGGGCTGGCAGCGTTCAAACAGAGCTTCGAACAGCAGGAAAAGGACAGCAATGGTTTTATCCCTACGATGATCAAGATCTAACTGACCTTGATAAGAGCATGACACTAAAGTAGTGCCCGCGTTTATTGTCGTGCCTTCTTGGGAACCGATACGCAGGAATGCCACGGGGAATACAAAAAAACCTTACATGTCATAGTAGCTGGTACATCTTCGGCATGTGATGTGACAACCTAGAATGTACTTACTTAGATCGCAGCAAGAGAGTTGTCGGGAAAATGCTCGGCTCGGCACTCTAGGCTGGATCACGTTAGAAAGTGGGTACCCAGCGTCATGCCGACCTCGGGAAATGCACCGTTTTTAACCAGCCGTGCACTTTAGCTCCATATGCGATTTTAGTTGACAAGCCAGACCATTGCCTCGGACTCTCACTGAAAACTGGGCTTCATGCATCTGTACTCACGGCTTGCGTGTTTCTCAGCATAAGCCTGTAGCGTTCGACGGGCCTTGAGCTTGAATATGCGCTACAAGTAATGACCACCCACGCACCAAAGAAGGACGGACATCAAGGACATGGCGTCATCGTCACCAGCAACTGTGTTTGCAAGTGCCACCGTCGCAGCACTGGTTGCTCAGTCTGCACCTGCACAAGGTGCTGTTGACTCGGCAGGTGCAGGTATAACAGGAGGTATGTGAATGTGTGTGTGCACTCGCTGAATTACAAACTAACAGACCTGCGTCAAAGGTTACACGGGCGACTCTCTCAGCCTCAAAATCATCATTGCGTTCTTTCTCGGTCTTGCATTGTACAATGCCATTGAACTGCTCGTCCTGGTATTTGTTACGTTCCAACGATACCACGGCGTTTATTTTTGGAGTATGCTTGCCGCTGCTGCCGGCATTGTACCCTACTCTCTTGGGTTCATAATCAAATTCTTCCAACTCTTGGATCCAAATCAAGATGTTGGTTATGTTGCTGTATTCTTGCTGACCATTGGATGGTATCCCATGGTAACCGGTGAGTAAGACCCCCCAAAACTCATTGTGATCGCTGACCACCATAGGCCAATCTGTCGTCCTCTGGTCACGCCTTCATCTCCTCAGCAATTCGCGCCGCGTTCTACGCTGGACCCTATGGATGATCATTATCGATGGTGTCGTCTTGCACTCGGTCACTACTGTTCTGACTTTTGGATCTAATAGCAACTCTCTACAACCAAAAACACTGGATCGGTTCGTCCGCGGCTACAGTATCATGGAGAAAACGCAGATGGTGGGATTTTTCATTCAAGAGGTCATACTCTCTGCCATATATATTCGAGAGGCTATCAGGATGCTGAAAATGTCTGAGGCTGCTCACGACGACAATCAAAGCTTTGATGATGGTACTGGACAAGGTCATGTGAGGAATTCGCATGTTCGAAAGACCATGTATCAACTACTTGCGATCAACGTCATCATCATTTCCATGGATCTCGCTTTGTTGGGCGTCGAATTCGCGAATCTATACCTGATTGAGACAACGCTGAAGGGCGTCGTGTACTCCATCAAGCTGAAGTTGGAGTTCGCGGTTCTTGGTAAACTGGTGCAATTTGTGCGGAATCGTGCAGCCTCTAGTGATCCTTCCGACCCACGGCAACCTAGCACTATCCACGAACGAAGAGGTACAGCTGCCGGCGCAGCTCTCGAGAAGACAGAGACGAACAGGACAGGTAGGACCAATAACAGCAGTGCGATCGCGCATTCTACTCCTCTCGCCATTGCTGTGCAGAACAGCACGAGGTCGCAACGGTTTCCGGATTTTGTTGATGCAGAAAGGGTCAGTTCAGATGTGACCCATGCACAGCAAAGAGAAGGTGGTGATGATGAGACCGACTCTCGATGGGAGACAAGGACGCACGATAGGGACCACTGGAGAAGGAGAACGAAGGCTAGTCGAGGGAGCTGGATAGATGAGGAGATGGATAAGCACAACATCGGATGAAGATACGCCTAGCAATTGAAGCATGAATTGCAAGAATAACTAACCTACATGTATTCAGAACACGACAGTTGCTATCATGCTTCTCTCTGAGGACGGTCGCCTTTGTAAAAGCCGTATATGGTCCCTGTAAACAGCTTTTCAAAGACAGTACCCTACTAGAGTGGCCCGCATGTGTACCATCATCTTTTTTGAACGACCGATCGTATCGTGTGCGCTTGTAAACACGCAGCCCAGCATGTAAGCCAGCAGTAGCGTTAACGATGGCCATAGGTATGCAGAAGCGACAGTAATCGCGAGCCACAATTGGAGATGGAAAAGAGACCCGTGATTGCTTCCCATTTCATCTCTCGTGGCAAAAGGTGAGGCGACCAGGTCTTCAGCATGAGGGTTTCTGCTTATTGGCTTCATCCAGCGCCCCGACCTTCACTGGATCTTCTGCCTCATGATCCTTTAGCTGATCCTGTACTTCAGATGGAAAATCTCCCTCGACGATGCCAAAAACACCGACGTCACTGCGACCCATGCCGCCGCCCTTCTTTTCTGTTTCCTCTGATTCTTTCAATATGAACCTAGTCCCTCCATTCTTGGCCATGGCATCCTCATCATAGGTGAAAACGCGCCAGTCGGCATTGAAGAACATGCGATTGCAGACGGCAGTTCTTAAAAAGCCCGAATGCGAGACAACGGCGATGACCTTCTCCGGTCTATCGTATAGCGCCCTTAGACAGGACTGTCCGCGTGCGAGGATGGCTTTCTGGGTGAACGCATAAGGATTGGAGGAGAGATCCGTCGTTTTATCAGGATAAGTTGGATCAACAGCCGAGAAATCGTAGCCTGGAAACTCTTCTTCCATGACGGAGATTGGGCTGCCAGTATCGCATGGCTTGTCGGCATTCTCTTGCCAATTGGCATCGGGCATGACCTTGACGTTGCTCTTGATCAGCCAGTCCAAGCCGATGGTAGCTGTTTGTAGCGTTCTGCGCATCGCGCTGACGACAATGAGCTCGACCTCGTTGCCGATCTTGCTTGCCTTGAGGCTCTCGTGCAGCTCGCGGCTCTGCTGCTCTCCCAACTCTGACAGCTTAGGGTCATGGAAAGACCAGTCACCCGCCACGTTGTGCAGAGCCTGGGCGTGGCGGATGAGTATGAGAGTCGGTGGCATGATGTGGAAATTGTATTCAAGATGCAAGTGTTAGCAGATCATGGTGCTTTTCTAGTGTTTGTAGATAACGCGCTAGCACGTGGGGCTGTGTGGCATGACGCAGCATGGCAGCCGCTGAACAAGACAGACTTGGGCATGTGGCATCATATTTTCATATCACCGTTAAGTACTTCATGTGCCGTTCGTTATCATGCATGGCCGTCTTATGCTGTGCAGCCGCATTCGCGACGCGGCCGGTGGGCCCATCTATTCCTGCATCTTCTCCTCCTCGTCGTCATCGTCGTCACCCTCCAGCGACTTCTTGGCAAGCTTTTCAGCTTCTTCCCTGATGTCCTTGGGTACCTCCTCGTGCCTGCCCTTTGTGGGTCCGTCCGTGCTGCTGATCCAGGTCATCTCCAGCTCAAACTCCTTGTCCTTGTTATCGTCGTGGGCGACATAGATGATGCGCGCTGCTTCTTTGACGCCTTCTTGCAGTGACAGCTGGCCTTCAGACAGGTTGAGCTTCTCAAGCTCTGACTTGGCGATTTGTCGGCCTTTGCCCGTGGCTGCGCCGTAGTAACCCTGCTTCCGTTAGCCTCCTCATGCATCATAGCCAGCATCGTGACGCACCCAGTACAGTCCGCTTGGCTCAACCATGTACAGCGAGGGTCCGCCGTGTTTTGCGCCCTCCTTCTTGCCGCCCGAGCCGGTTGCCGGACCCGAGCCAACCTGGCCATCGACTGGCAGCTCTGCCTCTGAATCCCAGCCCGCGATGATGGCTGTAATGCCGAAGGGTCGCACGCTGGAGTATAGGGTGTATGCCTGGGCGTAGCTTCCCATGCGGTCGGCAAGGGACGAAGCGGGAATGGGGGCCTTGTAGAGCTGCCGCCACTGCGCCGCCTCGTCGCGGGCTCTCGAGACGAAATGACGGCCGTCGGGGAGCAGGCCTGAGGAGACCTAGAGTGCCGCATCAGCAGGTCCATGCTTGGGGGGTGGGGTCCGTCGTGCGGTGCTTACAATGCCCATGTTCCTGTCGACGGTGGCTATCCTCTTGTTGGCGCCCGGCTTGAGCAGCTTGCTGGTCACGAGTTTCTCGAGAGCCAGCACCACGCCGTCCTTGCACCGTATGCCGACCGCTGTGCCGCCGTTCTCGACTGCCTTGACAGCATATTCGACCTGGCTGGGTGAGCTGCTGGTGCCGCCACAATTGGTAGACGCGGCCGTACCTGGAAGTTGCGTCCATCGGGCGAGAAGACTGAGTTGGACAGGTCGTAGCCTGTGCCTATTGACGTCTATGCGAGCTGTCAGTCGGGCGTGGCACACGCAAAACGGCGCTGAAGCTCACCATGGCGGAGGCCGGTAGTGTGTGTGATGCGGCGTGTGCTGTCTACGAATTGAGGGGGAGCTCCAGAGAAAGTGCTGGTGGGGTCAAGCACACGATGGATCTGCGCAGCTGGTTGGTGGTGTTGATGCTGCTCCGACCTTGGGAAGGCAGTTGCCAGTTACGCGGAGCTTAATTCTCGACTGGGTTAGCGCTGCCAAGCCCGCTCGACATGCTGCCTGCGTACTGAGGCACCCACGGCTTACAGACAAGACTACACAGCACGCTGATGCACGCAAGCTGGTGTATTGCCGTACAGCGTCCCGCCATCTTGCGCAGGTCGACTTGCCCTCGGCTTGCATTGCACAAGATAGACACGCCCATCGCTGCACACGGCGCTCTGATGTCCACTTTCACAGGCCGCGCTCCAATTGAGCACCACGCTTCACACGCGTGCCCGCCCATACACGACTGATGAGTTGTCCACCATCGCCCATACTTTTGCCGGCAGCAGGAGCATCTCATTGGCTGCACGCGCACTAGCCGCACGATTTATGTTTCGCACCCGTCACTACTGGACTACTGGATGGTGGGCGAGCAAAATTGTCACAAGCATCCCGCACTCACGCATGACCCATCGACCACGCTGCACACTATAAAGGAGAACCACCGCACCGTCCTTTGTTGACCCACAGTGCCTCTGATTTTCTTGTCTCGCAATAGCACTCATACTTCGTCTGTGTGTTGCAGTCATCGAGCCACTTAGATCTGACCGTGTTGTCCTTGCCACGTCTGTTGATACCCGAAACCCAACATGCAATCTGCGCAGCCCATGCTTTCGCACTACTGTAACTGCACCTACAACACTCCCGTTACTTACAGCCCTGCCATTTTCTCTCAGAACATCTCTTGCGCCCATGTAAGCTCTTGCTGCTTCGGCCTCGCCCCGCACTAACCATTACGTCAGTGCGGCTCCATATCAACTGGCATCAACGTTCGAGGAAAAGCAGAAGAGCAAGCGAACATGCAGCATGAAGAACTTACACGACTGTTCACTGCTCAGATGAGCCTTTCCCAGACAGCCACACAGCAACCTGCCCAGGATGTGCAACAGCTAGAGCCGGCGCCCAAGCAAATTGTCTACGCTTCTCAACACTACACGCACTCTCACCATGTTGCTCCGACTCGCCCCGCATCCGAAGCGCTGGTAAAGACGCACATTGAGCCCTCGGACCTCAGCGCAATACTTCTGCGCAACAGTATTGACCCTGTCCTACTCTTTCCTTCTCAGCTTGAGCTCTTCCAGAACGCAGACGATGACCAGCGACTGCGTTTACTTGAGCTATGGCGGATTTCCCCGCCCGCTGGTCGCCAAGGGTACCCAGACGGTAGTGACTACAACATGTCAAGACAGTTGTACGATTGGCCACCTACCTCTCTCGCGCAAGAAGAGGCCATGGCAAAACTGCGCTACGAACGAATGGAGCAAGATTCTGCTCAGCAATCTTCGCAGCAGTCAGCCGTACAAGATACGAGTACAATTGCGTTAGCTGATTCGCCACATACGCAGAGTGCAGAACCCTACATGACGTCGGGCTATGAGATGATGGCAAGGCGCGAATACGACAAGTCGGCACATACTGAGGCTCCATTGAGAGAGTCGAGTACATACAACAAAGCCACTGATCCTGTGTACAATGGAGGCTTATGGCAGAAGAATGTTGGAAGCGTGTTGGATATGGAGAACCAGTACGGTGCGTATGCTTATGCAAGAGAGTATGGAATACAGCCGTCTTATGCCGATGAAGAAATGGTCATGTGAGCATTGGACCTTCCAGCGTACTGTTAGTTGAAAGCAAAAAATGGGGGAGATAGACTTGAAAGGATAGCATTCAGTTCGGAGTTGCATTGAGAGCTCAAGCCAGCCAGGATACCCAAAGACCGTTCTCTTAGTCTGCACAATGCGGGTGGGTTCACCGAAATAGAAGATGATTTACACAGCACTACAGTACGCTCCCACAAGATGAACATGTGCCCAAAACTCCGCTCGTAAATGCGTCTGGACCACACCGAGTAATTGTACACGAAAAACCTTGGAACACGTGCTGTCCAAGGTAGGACCCAATGCAGCTTTGGGTAACTTATTTCTTCGCCCGCCCACTGGGCCACTTCTTCCATCCTCGGCCATGTCCTTTCTGCGAGTTTGTTAGCCAGAGACAGGCAGTAGTCACGCGTCAGACCATGACTGACCTGTTTCCACTCCTGGATCATTTGGGGCATGTTCAGCATGGCCTGCCGTCGCATCTCCAATCTTCCTTTGAGCGTCCGCTCCCAGCTCTTTCCCTTGACCTTCTGCCCCTCACCCGTCCCCTTGACCATCAATCCGCTTTCAATTCTTCGCGCATCCTTTTCTCCTGGTTTTTTTATCGTCCAAGGGAGCAGATCCACAACGTCGTGTTGTACGGCAAGCTTTACGAGATCTGCCTGTTTGCGCAGACCAAAGGCGGGGCCATGCCACCGGCCAGTTGTGAAGTTCTTCGAGGGCAGAAATGGGTTCGGGTAGGGCAGGTCGTGGGCGTGTGCGGGGATGCGGGAGTTGCGCGGGGCGGTGGAGGGTATGAAGGGGAGCTCGGAGGCCGATGTCTCCGTGACGGGCGCATTGGGGTCGGACGGAGGGGTGGTGGATATTGTCTGGGCGGTGGTCTGTGGTGTTGCAGCGGCGGATGTGAGGTTTGGAAACAGCGCAGGCGGGGGGTAGCGCTGGAAGAACCGTATTAATCGTGGGGGCAGCTCTTTAGCCGCGGTCAACTGTTGGGCGCTCATGACAAAGGCGGGCGGGTAATGTGTCGGATGCGTCGAATTGAGCGCTGCTGTGCTGCTGTGCTGCTGTGCTGCCCTCAATGGTCGTCGGCATCGCGCCTTCCACGACTTTTGTGCCAAGACAGTAGGCCCAAGCTCGGCCAACTGGTGTGGAGCTCCAGCTTGCCCGCCGCCGCGTACCTGAGCTGCTACCTGCGATACTTGGTAGACATCTTCCCACCATCCAGTTGTCGACACCGCCCTCCCCCACGTATCCTGCACTTTATCTTTGGCGAGCACAGCAAGCTTCGTTGTAGCCTCGACAGTGAGCTTCCACACATCCGCAGCCATGGTAAGCCCCCACGGACGTGATGGCGTCAACGCAATGGCTAACCACAACAGTCGTCACCGTTCTCTATAAGTACGACGTCACCTTGCTGGCCACGTTTCGAGCCCTTCTAATATTTGTACAGATGGCGGCGCCGCGGTTGCCATGGTGGGCAAGGACTGTGTCGCAATCGCCTGCGATCTCCGTCTCGGCATGCAAGCCCTCACAATCTCCAACAACTTCCCCAAGATCTTCCAATACGGCGACGTGTTCCTTGGCCTAACAGGCCTCGCCACCGACGTTGCTACCGTCTCAGACCTTTTCCGCTACAAAGTCAACATGTACCGCCTACGCGAAGAGCGCAACATCAGCCCGCAGACCATGGCCAACCTCGTCTCCTCGTCGCTGTACGAGAAGCGGTTCGGCCCGTACTTTGTCAGTCCAGTCATTGCAGGAATCAACCAGACAACCGGGAAGCCGTTCATCTGCGGATTCGACAGCATTGGGTGCATTGATTTTGCGAAGGACTTCATCGTGAGCGGAACCGCAAGCGACCAGCTGTTTGGCACATGCGAAGGCCTGTGGGAGCCTGATCTGGTATGTTTACCCATGTCAAGAGAATGGAAGCAACGAGCGGAGGAGACTGACCAGCATCCCAGGGCCCAGAGGACCTCTTCGAGACCATCTCGCAAGCGCTGCTAAACGCTGTTGACCGAGACGCACTGTCGGGCTGGGGAGCACACGTGTACATCATCGAGAAGGACAAGGTCACCAAGCGGTTATTGAAGGGCAGACAGGACTGAGGTGGCGGATGCATGTCGGTGCATGGTGCATGGTGCATGGCGCACCGAATGATTCAAGACTATGTATGGAGTACCAGGGCAGGTCGCGTTTGCTAGCCCAAATGCTCCAGAATGAGAACACGACCAAGACACTGAATAGAGATATATGTACCCAGCTTCAGAAGCAGCTGATGAACGAAACCCAGGCAGCTAGGCCAAGCTCAAGCTGTCATGTGAAGCGTTTTATGATGCGCAGATGATGGTGATGTGACTCTGATTTTCGGTGAGCACTGACAGCATGCCAAGTTCAAATACAAGGTGAAGTGAGTGGTGGGTAGCTATCGATAACCCTGGAACCGGCACGTGAAGTGGTGTTGCCTTCTAGAATGTCAACTGCTAGCGCCGCCGTAGCTCCATCTTTCACGTCGCGCTCTTTTACCCTGCTGGTCACCGTACAGTTACAAGCTTCCTATGCTACGACTGTTGCCTGTAACGAAAGCAGCGCGTTCTAAGAAGACGCGGTAGCCCTGCGAATCCCGTGCGCAATGACGGACACAACTCTTCCTCCACCTCCTCCACCTCCGCCTCCGCCGGCAGACAAGATGCCACCTCCGCCGCCAACAGACGTGCCCCCTCCTCCGCCACCGCAAGAAGAAGAACTGGGGCCGGTCTTGGTTCCATCGAAGAAGGCAAAGAAGGGCTGGGCGTCACAACGGAAGCAGCCACCGAGCATCGACGACATCCTCAAGGCGAAGCGCGAACAGGAAGCGGCCGCGGCGAAACCAAAGTTCCTGTCCAAAGCGGAGCGCGAGCGGATCGCGCTGGAAAAGCGGCGAAAGGAGGTCGAAGAGGCGCAACGGCGGCGAGAAGGCTCGAACAGCAGCACAAACGGCGCATCGCACAAGGGGCACTACGATGCGTCGTCGTCGATACCCACGGGTCCCCGGGCTATGCGTCCCGAGGCGCCCTCAGGCCCTCCGTCCCGACAGCAGCGGAGCAACGGTGATATGGCACCGCCCCCGCTGCCGGACAAGAAGACGGGCAAGCGACCACCGCCCGAAGACGCCGAGGCGGCCATGATACGCCAGCGGTACATGGGCGCAGAACAGAACCAGTCGACCTTCTCGGCCAAGAAGAAACGGAAGCGCACGACGGAGAAGAAGTTCAACTTTGAGTGGAACGAAGAGGAAGACACCAGCTACGACTACAACCCCATCTACCAGCAAAAGGCCGAAGCGGGCTTCTTTGGGCGCGGCCGGCTGGGCGGCTTCACCGAGGACGTCACGGAGCAGGGCACGCAGAAGTTCATCGAGGCCATGATCGAGCGGGACCCCGTGTCGGGGCGGGAGCGCGCCGAGCGCATCCTGGATATGGAGCGGCGGCGCAAAGAAGAGGGCGGCCGCGCACAGCTCGACAAGCACTGGAGCGAGAAGAAGCTGGAGCACATGCGCGAGCGCGACTGGCGCATCTTCAAGGAGGACTTCAACATTGCCACCAAGGGCGGCGCCATCCCCAACCCCATGCGCAACTGGCAGGAGTCGGGCCTGCCGGACAAGGTCCTGCGCCTCGTCGAACATGTGGGCTACGCCGAGCCGTCTGCCGTCCAGCGCGCCGCCATTCCCATCGCACTCCAATGCCGCGATCTCATCGGCGTCGCCGTCACAGGTTCTGGTAAAACCGCCTCCTTCGTCCTGCCGCTGCTGGTCTACATCTCGCAGTTGCCGCCGCTGGGGCCCTCGAACCGCGCCGATGGTCCATACGCCATTGTCCTTGCGCCGACGCGAGAGCTGGCGCAGCAGATTGAGGTCGAGACTAGGAAGTTTGCCGCTCCCCTTGGCTTCAATACCGCCGTCATTGTCGGTGGACACTCTATCGAAGAACAGGCATTCCAAATGCGCGACGGGGCGGAAATCGTCATCGCCACACCAGGTCGTCTAGTCGACTGCATCGAGAGACGCATGCTGGTTCTCAGCCAGTGCACCTATGTCATCATGGACGAGGCAGATCGCATGATCGACATGGGCTTCGAGGAGCCCGTCAACAAGATTCTTGACGCGCTGCCCGTCACCAACGAGAAGCCCGACAGCGACGCCGCCGAGGACCCCAACGCCATGAAGCGTGGCATGTATCGCCAGACCATGATGTACACGGCCACCATGCCCACCGCCGTGGAGCGCATAGCACGAAAGTATCTCCGTCGCCCCGCCATCGTCACCATTGGCAACGTCGGCGAGGCAGTTGAAACCGTCGAGCAACGAGTCGAGCACATACAGGGCGAGGAGAAGCGCAAGAAGCGTCTTCAAGAGATTCTCAATTCCGGCGAGTTCACGCCTCCCATCATCGTCTTTGTCAACATCAAGCGCAATTGCGACGCTATTGCACGCGATATCAAAAACATGGGATTTTCTTCCGTCACACTGCACGGGTCCAAGACACAAGAGCAGCGAGAAGCCGCACTTGCTCAGTTGCGCGAGCACCGCGTCGATGTCCTAGTCGCTACAGATCTTGCAGGCCGTGGTATTGACATCACAGACGTCTCGCTCGTAGTCAACTTCAACATGGCAACGAGCATAGAGAGTTACACGCATCGTATCGGTCGTACAGGCCGTGCAGGCAAGAGCGGTGTTGCAATCACTTTCTGGGGCAATGAGGATGCCGATGTATTATATGACTTGAAGCAGATGCTTACCAAGAGTCAGATCAGCAAGGTGCCTGAAGATCTGAGGAAACATGAGGCTGCTCAGCAAAAGGGCGGGCGTAATAAGGAGAAGAAGGCCTTGACGTGAGGGAATGAGAATGGCATGCATCTGGTACGGCGCCTGAACCCTGATACCATGGCAGCATCTGTTCCTTGTGCATTCACAGGAAACTAAAAGAAAATACAATGTCATTTCGGCCGTAGCGCTGAAATGCTTCTCTACATTGCTCTGTCAATTCCCATCTTGTGTTGAAGCTCTGTTCTTCCCAGTCACTAGCCCGTGAGATTACCAATCCTCTTCTCACAAACTGTGTGGTTCCTTGTCGTCCTTCTCGTTCAGAGCACAAATTATCCACCAGACCGCTAAGCACGTATGCCAGCGTAGACATCTTCGAGACGCTTTGCGGAGCTCAAGCTTCTACAAACACAGTCCATCCTAGAAGAACGACAAGTGTGAGACAGATGCCGCAGAGAAAGAAAATAAAAATGGTAATTTCTTCGTTGTGTCGGCGTCGTTGATCGCTCTCCCGCTGCAACAGATAATTTTACCATTGGAATATTTTATTGCTCTGGACAAGTCCCGCAATGCGGAAACTTCTCGCTGGAGGCGTCGAGCTGGAGGTGCTCAACTCGTCGTCCGCGTCGTTGTCAACGTCAACATAAAAGTCATTGGTGTTTCTGCTCGAGGGGGTTGGCTCACTCGAGTCTGGTGGGTAGCATGGGGGAGATGTAACGTCACATCCGGCGACTGGTTGTATCGATTCTCCTTGTCGAGATGAACTTGGCAGGGAAGATGGTATAGACCAAGTGGAGAGCGACTCTTGCGATTCTGAGTACATTGCCGTGGTTTGCTTCAGAAAGAAGTCGAGCACGACTTTTAACTTTGTGGTAATATGGACCTTTGTGCACAACAGTGTGATTTAGCCCCTCCGCATCGATTGCATGGGTTGGTAGTAAGGGTCCTCGTAGCCATAGTGTGGTCAATCGTGACAAGGGCTAGAGAGGGCGCTAGGTGAAGGCATGGCTTGGTGTAACAGACCGCGGACGAAGCTTATACCAAGTAGCCGCATCGAGATGGGAAATGATGCAATCAATGGAATCACTTGTAGGAACCGGCAAAGCTGTGTGAGTTCATTACGTCTCCTCTGTTTGTGCCAAAGAAAGCGTGCCTCGGTCAAGCCATGCCTTAACCTCATCGCCTGAAGCGACTTCCGCACTAGTATCTCCGTTACGCAACACGTACTCGCTGAATGTTTACCTCGCGACAATGGCGCTCATTCTTTTCTGAACCAAATTTCGATCAGCTCAATACAATTTGTGTTACTACTTTTGCTCGAACGATACCGGTGTCTTAGACATCAGACCTGTACATGTACCTTCATCGTTTAAGACACTCAAAGAGATAACAGATCGTGTTATTGCACTAAGATTCAATCACATCCAGATTAGTAAGCGCCGACCTGATCAAAAGCAGAAGCTGTTCGGTCTCAGCCCTTCGAAAGCACTTTTATTTTATTTGTGAAGCCGCACTACCGAAGTTCACAGACGTCCAGAGTCCAAAGCGACACTTCGAAATTAGTCGCACAAGGTCTACAAATATCACGACTTTGACAGAGAGTAGTATGTATTCTGGCTAGAGTATGTGCAGGACTATCGCATAGATTAGCCAACACATGTTGGCGCCACAGCTTCGGGGTCTCAAGAAAACATCAATGTGAACTCAAGCAAAAATTCGACAGCCTTGCCATGCGATTCAAATACGCACCGGCAATATTTCGAGAACACGAGGTCCTTTGTATTAGCATAAATATGCAGCCATTGTCTTGAGCAAAGGGTGGGCTGTTGGGATTGAGGACGTGGGTCTGGTTCGATAAATTCGACAACCAATTCGGTAATCTAGTCTCAGTAGTGTAGTTTGTGGAACTAGTGACGGTTATTACGAGCCGCTAAATGCGTGTGCTTTTCCCACTCGGCCATATAAGTGTACAAGGGACATCGGGAACGAAGATTGGACCACATTGAAAGATTGCATGTCAGAAATTACCACTCGAAGCATGCGTCTCCACCTTTATACTTTCACGTGCGTGTTATAATCTGGAAACATGCTTGAAAATTCACTTGGGCATGGTATACCCGTCGCCTATTACCTAGCACAGTACGTGATGACGTCAATACACAACGTGTGCTTTTCGAAACAGATTCCAGCGTGCTTCCTTCGCCGAGCCAGCTTCAGTCTGCATTATGCTAATAGGCTACTAACAGCATTATCATTGCAAATGATTCTCACGTAGTTGGGTCAAGGCGTGGGATTGCCCAGTCTTGTCATAGACAGATGAATGACAATGAAGCCGGGTTATTGTGATGCCAAGAGATGTTTTTGAACCCTGCGATCAATCTACACAACACATTCAGGTTGAGATCGGGCAAAGTTCCCTTTTGGTGTGCCAAGACGAACGGGCTGGGCAGACGGGGACATGTCCTGGATGCACTTGGCACGACATACAAAGGCCGGAGAAGTCGCTCAACAAGGCTCGCAATCTCCCCCAAAACCTCGCAGCACGCTATAGTCTACTCAAGTTTATTGGAACCGAACATGGTTTTGCCACGAAATGTCCTGACCAGTCTGGCGACGCTGGGTAGTGCCATCGCAGAGACGTCTTATCTCCCGTATCAGGTTCGAAATGCTGGTGTTCCGGTTGGGCAATTGAAGAACATCAGTGGAAGTGAGTTCAAGATAAAGGACCATGCGCACTACTCGTTACTGATGGGTCACAGTTGAAATGTACATTTCATACCCACCCAATCGCAACTCGTCCACCAAGGCCTTGCTTTATGTAACGGATATTTTTGGTGTTCCGCTTCTACAGAACAAGCTGTTGGCTGATTCTCTGGCTGCAAATGACTATCTGGTTGTCATGCCCGATCTGTTCAGAGGGGATGCAATTTCTGTTGAAGAGCAAGAGGCAGGACTGAATCTTACCGAATGGCGCGCCTTGCACCCAACTTCCGAAATTGACAGCATCATCAACACGACCATCAACTACATGCGCAGCGATATGCAAGCTGCAAGGATCGGCGGGCTCGGCTATTGCTTCGGTGGGAAGTACGTGCCGCGGTTCATGACTTCAAGCGGAGGACTGGATCTTGGCTTCATTGCTCATCCGAGTAGTTTGACCGAGCAAGAGATTGGTGGAATCACCAAAGGGATTAGTATTGCTGCCGGTAGTGAGTATACCTGGTCTTGCACTGTAAAAATTCCCAGCTGATCACGACAGCCCTTGATGGATCCTTCAATTCCTCTGCCAAGGTACGCGCAGAGAGCATATTGGCTGCAAACAATGTGACTTTCCAGACGAATCTTTATTCTGGTGCGCCGCACGGGTTTGCCGTTCGAGTCAACCAGAGTATTCCGCAGCAGGCATATGCGAAGCAAGCAAGCTTCATGCAAGCTGTGACGTGGTTCGATGCGTGGTTGTAGAAGGCTGCATGTGGTACATACAATAAATAATGTAGCTAGTAGATGCTGTGGTTTTTTAACAAAGCACTTCGGCCTTAAGTGTAATTGCTACAGCCTGTCCCTTGATAGATAAACCTGCAGCCAAACTCGTAAACTTTGATTCAATGCCTTCAAAGGATGAGCGTATTGCCCTCTGATGTCAGGGAGCAAATATCTCGGATGCTGAAGGTGCATAGAACGCGGAGAACTTCCTATCCTGTAACTTGGCTTGACAAAGGGCGCGGGCCATTCCAATTTCAGAACAGTTGGGCATTGGCGCGGCTCGCAAATATACGCGATTGGTCTGCGAATAGGGGTGACATGCTCTAGCCCAAAGGCTTTCGCACAGAAACTCGGTCTTGATGTCATACAGAATGCTTTATTGTATACCTTTCTACGCCACTTTAAAGCAGTTGTGTTCACAAGATGGCTCAAGAGATGGAAATGAACGTATTGCCCGCAGACAACAAGCACATACTGGTAGAAGACCGCAAACACTCCTATAATGCTCGGCCCGACATGGAACGAGATGTTTCCATCGCAGGCGATGGGAGGAAAAGGAGCAAGTTGCAAATGTTTGCGATTCTGACAGCGCTCTTTGTATGTTGACACGTTCTGATTAGAACCGAACACACATTCTTCATTTTGCTTACGTGATGAGTAGCTCTCGTTGTTTGTTTCAGCTTTAGATGCAACTATTATCGCGACGGCTGCACCCACTATAACCAGAGACTTGAAATCTGCTGCTGGCTACACATGGATCGGAGGCGCTTATCTTCTTGCCAATGCCGTGTCGGGTCCTATATGGGCGAACCTGTCCGACATTTGGGGTCGCAAACCAATCATCTTAACTGCTTTAGCCGTTTTCTTCGCCAGTTCGACGGTATGTGGGACTGCAAAGACCATGGAAGCTCTAATTATTGGACGCGCATTTCAAGGTGTAGCCGGCGGTGGATTGATCCTTCTGGTACACGTTTGTATTAGCGATCTATTCAGTCTGAGGCAGAGGAGCTTACTCATGGGTCTCACGGAGGGCATGTGGTGTCTCGCTGGGGGAGTCGGCCCAGTGCTAGGCGGCGTGTTTGCAAGTTTGGCAACATGGAGATGGTGCTGTAAGTCTCAATGAACCGTGCCGAAAACAAGACCAAGCTGACCGTGGTGAAGTCTACATCAACCTTCCCATCAGCGCGTTCGCAGGCTTACTCATCGTGCTCTTCCTCGACATCCGCCACGAACATACTTCTTTTTCCGACGGTATCAAGGCGATCGACTGGTTTGGTATCTTCACATTCTTGGGGTTCACCTTGATGCTTCTCCTAGGCCTAGACTTTGGTGGTGTCCTTTTCCCCTGGGATTCTGCAAAGGTCATCGCTCTTCTTGTGGTTGGCAGTGTCATGATATTCGCCTTCATCTACACCGAGACAAAAGCTTCGTATCCGCTGATCCCTATGGCACTGTTCCGACGCCGCACTAATGTAGCGGCTTTTTCTCTGGTATTTTTCCATGGATTCGTCTTCATCGCTGCGGAGTACTATATGCCCCTATATCTTCAATCTGTCCTTGAAGCTTCACCGTTGCGATCTGGTCTCCTTCTTCTTCCCTTTATTGTCACTGGTGCGATACTTGGAGTCTTGGCAGGCGTCTGGATCCACCGGACTGGAGAGTTTCGTGGGATCATGTGGTTTGGTACATTCCTGCTGGCGTTGGGATTCGGCCTTTTTATCTCCTTTGATGCATACACCACTACAGCAAAGGCCGTTGGATATCTTATGATAGGCGGCGCTGGATCAGGGATCCTCTTCGAAGCGCCGCTCATTGCTGTGCAAAGCCAGGTGGATCAACAAGAGGTTGCAAGCGCTACCGCAACACTATCTTTCATCCGAAACATAGCCCTTTCGATTTCCACCATTGTTGGCGGAACTATATTCCAAAATTCAATGAGCAATAGGGCATCGGTTCTGCGCGCGGCTGGACTGCCACAGGAGCTACTGGAATTGCTCAACGGTGAGAGTGCAATGGCCAATGTCATGATCCCAGGTACGCTGAGCAATCCTGATTGGGAGCTAGCTGCGAAGGAAGCCTTTGCTTATGCTATGCGCAACATGTGGATTTTGTACACCGTACTCGCCTTCCTCAGCTTTGTGGCGAGCCTGTTCATCGAGGCGGCGCATCTGGGTACAGATCATGTAGAAACAGTGACAGGGTTACGGAAGGAAGAGCCGAAGGTCGGCACATGAGGCCCTTGAGCTCTGTTTTCGGCATAGATGACAAAAGTGCGAGTGGTTGCAAGAGTAGAGTGCTTCAAAAGAGTTTGGTCTACCAGAAAAGCTGTATGACATTGAAAGATACAGACCCTGATGAATGGCGATTGCTTTTGCATTCCAAGCTCTACACAACCCCACTTCTGTATCACGTGCGCCTGTCGGAAACCTACTGGAAACAGCAATCACTTTGCAGACTGGCCTACAACAACCGTCGGATTCAGTGAAGCCCCTGACTAACATGGACACCAGCCAAAGCCCCGCCATGATCAGCCGTACAGCACGCAGAGGTCACGCTGCCGTCGCCGCCATCCTCACGGATATGGACCGCTACCTTCCTTCCGATACGATCAACCGCCAAGACTACCGGCGCTGCCGTACAGTGTACGGACTCATGAATACAACATACCGCCGCATAGATGACTCTGAGCAACCTGGTAAAGAGTACAGGGACCTCCAAGGCCTAGAAGCAGAGCTACGCACCCATCTCAACAACCTCAATGCTGCCAAAGGGATTCCAATCAAAATGCGCGAGTACCTCGACGAGCTGAGGGACGCCATCAATGACGCTCTCGCTCGAGGCATCTCCACAGAGTTTATTTTGGAAGGAATCACCGACATGATTGATGGCAAACCCAATTCACAGACTGATCCGCAACCGAAACTGGCGAAGATGATGCCCGACACCAAGTACAAGAAAGTGTGTGTCGACCTTGCAGAGGCCAAGAAGAAGATCCAAAAGTTGAACGACGAGAACAATGCGCTTACTATGCGGGTCAAGCGCTTGGAGATGGAGCGCGACAGATCGAGTAGGTGGCTTTGAGCCGATGCATAGCTTGGTGCAAACGTTGACTGAAATGTAGACTTTAGCTG